AAAAATGGAATGTACGAAATGAATCGAAAACATCGTATAATCTAGGACGAAGTTTGGCAGAATCGAAAAATAATAGTGGAAGAGGTAGGGAGTTTGAAAACGTTAGACCAACAGTGAGAGAGCAAATTGTGGCATAAATACAACAGCGAATTCGAACAAATTAAGAAATAATGTTAAAAATAATATGAGAGAGATGAATAAGAAATTAAACAAGATTAGAGAAAAGCAAGAAGGATGAAGAATGTAGCTGGATTAAGAATGGGTTCCATGAGCTACCGAATGTTGAAAAGAGGTGAATGAATGAATGATAATTTACGACATAATCTATTTGATAGCTTTCTAGTAAAGCATTCTTCTAATAATGAATCTAAGGGAAGGTATGAAATTGAATTCCATGCCTATATTGCAGACTTGTCGCATCCAATGCAGCTGCTAAATAATCCGTCCACGCATAAACACTGTGGTAGAGTGAGAAGGAATAAATACTTGGATTGGAGATAAGCACTAATGATTTCTTATGAAACAGCACCAATCATTTTTCTACTAGCCATTCTACGATCGAATAATTAACTGCGGGAATTTCTGAATGCTTGCTTATAAATATCTAATAGAGAAAAGAAAGAATAAGAACGCCTGTATTTTGATGGATAAAATTGTTTGTGAAAATAAGTAGGAGGAAAAAGAAACTCACGTATGATGTTTGGGAAGTTCTGTAAAGTGCAGAAAAAATCAAAAATGGTAATTAGTGCAAGTTAGTTTTTCGATTTAGATATCAAAATGATTACAATTAGCAAACAAAAGATCACGGAGCAGTGTTCAATCCAGTGCAGTTACTTTATGTATCTGTTATTATCTCGCTATACATTTTTAGAAAATTTTTAATTCTTTAAATGCCAAAACAAAAGGAAGCTTTAGCGTTTTTAGGAATTTACTTTATTACATCAAATATATTTTCCAAATTTGTAGTCTAATGCGAAATTATTCATGCTTATAGAAATTGAGAATGAAAAAGTAAATAATTTTGTGTCGTATACAATACCTCGAAAGCTTGGGCAATTTCTAGAAAAGACTTCTACAGAAAAAATTGAAATTTTAAAGTTGAGAGAGATGTTAAAATATTTCTATCCTGTAAATAACAGAGGAAAAAAAATTTACCACGCTTATTAACTTACAATGCTAGAATCAGTATAGGATGAAAAATTTTTTTCTGCATTTCCATTTCATTATATATTGCAATAATTTGAATGGTGAGGTAACTTCAGGCAAAGCAGTTGCCGTAAATAAGTTGTTGGCCATTATATTGATTTCATAAACGCACTCAGCAACACTACGACACTTACAGATATGTTTCAACAACAATTTCAAAAATACGCAACAAATTAGAAATATTAGGAATGTATAACAGTAATATTTCAAAGATATTATAATTCCACTTGCATTTAATGGATTTGTTAGAAAAAACAAGGCAGAGTTCATCCCACTCCTTTAAATAAGCCATTTTGAATAGCTGATGAGTTTCGTTGGCTATTTTAAAGAAAAAGAAGAAATCATTCGAGCTTTTCCAATCTCAAATGTCATCAGTCCTTCAAAGCCGTGTGTCCGCAAAACGCGTGTAAAAAAGCTATTAAAATTTTGTTCGAAGAACCGAACAAGAAAACCACACCTGTAATAAAAGATACACTGCTTTTTAATAGCTCCCCTCTTTTCTAAAATCAGTGCTAAAAGTGGGACGAAGATGTGAAATAAGAAATCACATATTCAACCATCGTTTTATGAGTAAACAAACTCAATTTTGTTATGCGTAGAAAGCGAAAATATTGTTAATAGATGAATAAATTGAAGATTAAATTATTAAAGGTTCATGTTGTTAAAAAAGGTTCATGCTTAAGAATAAACTAATGAAATCGCATTCTTCAAAATTCAATGCTTGTCACCCCACGAACACAGTACATTGTAGTAATTTACTTCTATAGGCGTTCATTGCAACTATCGGCAGAACGTGGAAGGAAAATACAACTGGCTGTAACTTACATTAATAAAAAACAGTGCAGTAATACTGCATAAAGTTCAGCTCTTAATTGCCCGTTAACCTATTAAATAATAATAAGAAAGACAAAGAAGAAGTAACCAACAGTAAAGTAAAGGGCGTTCATAAATATTTCTTAATTAAAAACCAAAGAATGTTGATATTTTTCGAAATGGATATAAATGAAAAATGAATTCAATTTATGACTCAGCTGAAGACTGAGGTAAATTATCACTACAAATTATGTACTAATAATTAGATAGTCAGATAAAGTCAATGCTAATGATATCTTACTTCCTTTGCATTATAATGAAAACATTCACTACCATTTCGCACACTCTCTCACAAATCATGAGGAATATAGCCAAATTTATACGAAAAGAAATTCACTTAAATTATGACAATAACAGATGAGATATACTGCAGAGAAATATGTGCGAAATGAATAGTGAATCAGTGAATGCAGGGGAATGAACACTGCTGAGTAGCAAAAACAGGTTTAATTATCTGTTCATAAGAAACCGTTAAATGAAATGTCACAAACGACAGAAAATAATAAAATGACTGAGATTATTTTATCTCAGTCTGCAATCCCAAAACAAAATATAGTCCATTAACTAATGGACGTTTAAGCCAACAATCTGTACACATGGAAAAGCTCCAGATGTCTATTTCCATGATTGCCAACTCTGACATTATGATTGATTTCAAAAGCTAATCACTCTGCGAGGAGATAATAAATCTAAGTATCCATGTGTGTTGTGTGTTTCTGGATATGTTCTGTCTGTATAGAGAGTAGGGTAGTGAATGAGGTTCATACATTCTGAATTCAATTATGAATACATTAATGAGCTTTCAGAAAATGCATTTAGAGTTGCTAACTGCTAACTATTTGCAGTCGATGGTGCTACCCCTAAGGCAAATTAACACCATTTGTAGAATAGGACAAAAGTGTACGAAATTAAAGGACAAGAATGTTCTGTTAACAAAATCTTGTCAATTCTCGCTAAGAAAAATAGTAATTTATAGATAAAGAAGCAGAAAGTAAATCACCTATCATGGATAATTTATATAAGGTTAAAATCATATACCCATATTTTCTTATTAATGAAAAAATTCTTCTGTAGCTCTCATTCCTCATTCATCTGATTTAACTACTCATAATTTTCTACAAAATTGCTATTCTACAATAATAACTTGTCCTAATGCAGCATGTTCGCTACCATCTGAATTTTAGCCAATATCGAAAATGAATTTATGCAGAAAGCAACAAATACTACACTATGGTAACATTAAATATCAGCCTCGAGCCAAACAAACGGTAGAAGTTCTATACAACTTTCACCATTATGAGAAATCAACAATTGCTGTGATCAAATTCATGACATGTGAAAGTGAAATTACATGATATGTGACATATTACAGACTTATCGAAAAATTTTTCTTTGAGAATTATTTGTTTTGCCAGTCAAACCAATACTTTCTCATGAGCTACGAACCATATTTTTTCGGCAATTTTGTAACTAAGCAGGATAAATCTGAGTTTCCAGGACTTTACTTTTTAAATGATCGAGAAAGAAACATAGCTTTACTACATGTCTTAATCTATTATTACATAAATAAGCAGGGTCAGATTTGTAGGATCTTGAAGATTTGTCAGATTTTGCAGATTTGCAGGACTTGTCTGCTTTTGTGAAAAAGCTGACTTGAAAAACAGACTTAGACGTTTAAAAAAATGCCAAACGTGTACTTTTAAATGAAAGAGAAAACCAATTATTCTTTGTCCTTGTTACTGAAAACGAATTACTTTATTATATTCTGTGGAGAAGAAAAGGGATGAGATTATAAACAATAATAAGGGCTGAGAGAGAGAGAGAGAGAGAGAGGTGAAAAACAGAGATTATCCAGCTAATAAGATAGATTCGTAATTCTTGCAAATCCTGTTAACTCCATCCAGAAACTTATCAATAACTAGACCATAAATTTATTAGAATAATGAAATGTCTAATCATCCGACAATCACAAAAACATTTGCAACCAATCACAGGAGAAGCACAAGAGGCTCATAACATTTAAAAATAGAGAATTTACAATTTTTGTCATTCCACTATTTTTGATACAGTTGCTTTCTTTAAAATAGATTCTATACTTCAACAGTTTTTTAGTTCAGAAAAAACTTTGCAGTGAACTATTTGAAAGACAAAGAATTAATGCAGTTGTCCTAGACAACTGTTTTCTACACGTCATATACTTCGCTACAATCATCTCCGAAGACCCAAAGCACTCTTTGCAAAAAACCGACTACCAAAGTTAAAAAAATAAGCAATTTTTCATGAGATATTCTACCCATCATTTTCAGGTGATATTCTACTCATCAACTGATCCCATCTAATTATTGCCTTAAACCCAACACACTACTTTATCAGTCCAGCTCAACAAACCATTAAAATAATGAAATGTCTAATCATCCGACAATCACAAAAACATTTGCAACCAATCACAGGAGAAGCACAAGAGGCTCAAGTTTGCGAGCTTAAAGTTAAATTCTTCAAGTGCAAACTTGAATAGTAGATTTTAATTGATCAGTTTTTTTAGCCTATTAATTTGTTTAAAATAAAACAAATTTAGTGTTTCTAAAAAAGCTATTGAGTTATTTATTACATTTGCTAATACGAGAGACGGTACCACAAAAATGGCAGCATCAAAATGATTTTAATGCATGAAAATAATCTTAAGAAAATCATCTTACGCTAAACAATTTTGCTAATCAGCCTTTGCTAAACATCTCGTTTTGTTTGCTTAACATCAAATTCTATTCGTGCAATCAGAACATCCAGAAATTCTAAACTTGGAAAGAAACAACTTAAAACAACATCTGTCTTAATTTATGGTGAAGCAAAAACTGAAGAGACTAAAAGTCAGCTAAAAAGTTGAAATACTGCTAGAAGAAAAATAATTATTAAGGAGAACTAACACTGATAAGTAGGCGAGGCAGACAGCGATGGTGGTTGGTTGCCAAGGTAGGTTCTCACCGACGCCGACTGTGGTTGCTGCAACCACTCACAGTGATACAAAAATGAAAGAAGGCGTTGTTATTGATAACACATATTAACCAATTACACTACTACAATAAATCTTAAAACAATTAACTGAAACAATGATTCCTTAAATCATCGATAAAATAAGGAATGTTTCTTTTACTCCTTTGTACTGCTAATCTTTTTTATTTAGTACAGTAAAAAATGATGATTTGGAAGCACTAAATTACATCTCATATGCTAAGAGATGTAATTTGTTGTTTTACGAATCTCAATTCTGACAATCAATTTATATTGTGGATCAAACTGCTACCATTCAGTCTTTGCTAACAGCAATTCTAGATGAACAACAATAAAAACTAAGCACAGCCACTTCACTATGTTTCATATTATCTTGTCTTCTTTTCTACAATATGCTTGTAATCAACTAAATTCTCTTTGAAAGGATCCGTTTTTTTTTAATGTGCATCAGTTCAGTGTCAAACTAGGAGTTTAAATTTAAAAAATTCATACCCGGTGTTTACAAAACGAATAGGAATTAATAGTATAGCTAGTTTGTTTTTGATAAACAGTCGGTTTTTGAAATATTCTCGTTGCTATTTGTATTTAAATGTAGCTAAGTGCGGGAATTTATTATTATTGTGTATTTTTACTGGGGCATTTTTTAAATGTTTTTTGAATATAGTCACAATTATTTTGATAAGAAGACAAATTGGCAAAAAATATAAAGCAACCTGTTGACGGTAGATTGAAGATTGAATAGGATATTTTGGTTGTTGCTGCGCTTTAGACTGATAGCAAGATTGTGTTGGGTACTGAGCAGATTGTGATCCAGAAGATTGTTGAGAAGCGACTATCGACGGTGCTGGATACATGGTTCCTCGTGATGCTGGCGTAACTGGTGCTCCCGAAGCACCAGCTGGAAAAATATTGGAAGATGAAGGATGCTGATTATTTTGTGACTGCATTTGTGACATATTCGGTGGGTATCCTAAAATAAAGTAAGGAATAAAATATCTGCATAATCATAAAAGCGAAATATTTCAAAGGGTGGTACACGAAACGAAATAGAGGCGTGACATTATTCACACCAGTGTGTGCATGTAATAAGGAAGTCTTATGTGGAACTACACTTATCAAAGTAAATATTACCAGTAAAAATGGAAAAGCCAAAAAGTTCGAGTCAACAAATTTGGTGATTTGAATCGATAAAGGAAATGCATTAAAAATAAAACCTTAAAAAAAAAATTCAGAGAAAGAGAATGCCATCATGTTGCTAACTTCTAAAACGATAAAATATAATGACTATTATAAATCATTAAAGGGTGATTCAAGTGATTTGTTTAAAAGCCATCTGCTTACCTTTTATTATAAATAATCAGCCAATAACACTTCTATTAAAAGCAAAGATGTTTAGAAAAAAGAAAAAGAGATAGGTGATTATAAAATGAAATACAATTTGTATTATTTACAAGTGATTTAGATTCCAACTAAGACTATCCCGCTCAGAGAAACAACGTCTATTCACAGTAGAAGCTGCATAAAAATAATGGAATAAGCAAAAACACAAATTTTGTGCAGTTGTTTTCCTACTTAAATTTCAGGTTGTAGTAATAAGTTAATCTTAAATTAACCAAGTATTTGATGTACGCATAAATGAAAAAAAGTGTTATGAGAGAAATTAATAGCAATTAGCAAGAAGTGAAAGAACTAGCCAACAAAAGGCAATAATAACTTCAGCAACAAGTATTTAAACCCAGTTGGATAATGGATTTATCGAGTAAGAATTTAGTAATCAATTTGTACCAAACTTCATCTGTGTATGAATCATGTCCCTGCATGAATATGGTAAAAAAGGTAAGAGTCGATCCTACATAACGTGAAGTTACTTCAGAAATAAAACCTTCTACTTCTATCAAAGAACGATAAAAGAACACAAGAGAGAAAAAATAAAGGTGAAATCAATATACGACCTCTAACTTAAATTTGTTAAATAAAAATTATCCCTCTCAACAGTTATTGCCAAAATACGTAAGATACATTGGAAAACCTATTTTTATAAGAAATATTTTTTATAAGAGATGTTGACATCAGGCTTCAATTGATAACCGAATACTTGCGCAACCAAATAAGATTATCATTCATACTGAAAAACAAGTGGAAATATGACACAAATAAGCAGACTACAAAATAGATTTTAGAATATGAAAGAAACAAATCAAACATATGAAAGTTTTTAGAGCATTCCTTTAGCCACAACAAGTTTTTGGACCATTCTTTTACCCATTTCTTTTTTTTCTTTTCATTCATTTCAAAAAGAAACAGAAACTGTCATAAACTGCTCTTTCTTACAGCATTAAATCATGTTCTCACACTCCTGATGTGAGAAAAAACATTAAAAATTAGGCTGTCGCAAATCGCTTTCCAAAATGAAAGCAACAATTTCTTCAACTTGAATAAAGTTCACACTGTACTTTTAGATGACTACACATCTGTATTGCACTTTTCCTATTTCTTCAGTACCAAAGTCGATGTAATATTTTGAAAAGTTAGATGAGATTTTAAAGAGAAGGAAACAGAATATCACACTTATCGCATTTAAAATTTATTTAAACAAACTCCAAAAATTTAAAGTACCCGCAGCAAAGCGCAAAAGTCGATCAAAAAAAGATTTCTAAAACAATTACATATAAAGTATATATAAAGCTATATGGTGACTGCACTTTACCATACAAATGTCAACTATCAAGTAGTCAACTCACCATCAAAAAATTCTTGTACAAATTTACCAAGTTATTTTAGGGGTAATTTATAAATGTTAAGGTTGATAATCGCTCTGTTTGGAAAGCTTTACTTGTAGATTGCTTAGCACTGCTATTAAAAAAGTCAAATTTGCGTTCTTATAAATCAATCAAGAACTACAACAGACTATACTCCTGATTCTTGATGAGAAGAATAAGTTCTCAAACAGTGAAAGAAAGGAAGAATTATATCCACTGACCACAAACAGGGAAGATCAGTGTACAGTGGTATGATGGAATATTAGTGCAGTTTTTTTAATCAAATTTTATGTCTTCATGGAATATTAGTGCAATTTTTTTAATAAAATTTTATGTCTTCATGGTGCTCATTACAAGAATACATATTTGATCTTTCAAACTTATTTTTATTCACAATACGAACATATCTATTTGAAGAATAGGAGTAAAATTTCTTCATAAATTCTATTGACAGGTGATAAAGTGCAACACAAACTCTTGATGTACAGTTTCAATGCTGATGAATAAACTTTTCACTAGAAACATAAAAAACTGAATATGTATTAGAAAACTCTCTGCTTTACATAACAACTAAGAAATGGTAGAGAATACCATAAAGAAAAAGAACGGGATACATAAAGCAAGGAAGTGATAGAGAACCACACCTTCCAAAAAATTTTTTTCAATGAATTACTAACCTGAGTAAGGAACTCGTTGTACCATAATACGGTGCATTGCCCCAGAACCAAAATGCTACAAATAACAATGAAAATTATATAACGAATAGAATTTTAAGTCTGAGTCAAGCAAATAAAAATAAGGAAATCTTCACAAATTCTTCAAATACTCTAACAATTTAGATTACATGAATTTAGGTATTACCTGTTGAGCCTGTTGACCTGTCCACTGAGGCTGTTGCATTTGTGCATGGCATGAATATTGTTGTTGCTGTGGACCGACTGTTGGGATTCTTGAAAGATATGGAGCACAAGGAGATGAAGGTGGAACATGACTCGATGGTACCATACCTGTTTTTATACTTTTTTAGAATTCATAAAACTACTACCTTCTTAAACGAGGTCTACAAAATGTTTAGTGCTGCATTGTTTAACCTTGTTTGAAATAGTGTATTAAAGGTGTATTATAATAAGTTCCACAATATTGAAAAGCTTTTTGTTTTATAACTGTGATGACTGATCATCGAATAAGTTTGGACCGAATTACATTAGTCCTTCCGTTAAATTTTCCTCTATATTTTTCATTTTTGCTTATTGTCTATTAACATAGATTCGAATTCTGTTAAATCATAATTTAAAAAAAAGCACTTAACCTGCTGGACTTTGCAAGTTTGCTTGATAGTGAACAGGAGTTTGTGAGGGTTGCATATACAGAGAAGGGGAAGCATTTGAGGACGGACGACTCATAAATGGCGCGGGCGATGGATGCATACCGTTTGGACTTCCCATTGGGCTACGCACTGCAATAGACCTATATTTTAACATTTGAGCATGTAACCAAACCGAAATTATAAATGCTACACAAATTATTTTTGTGTAGTATTTATAATTTAACATAAACAAGTAAAGAAGGCTTCCAAAAAATGACCTGGTAAACACATTCCCACTGGCTGCTGTTGCACGGAGGTTCGTGTAGCACTCGGAGATAATAAAGCAGAATCTCGCATTGCACCTGAAGAAACTGAAGAAAAAACATATCGTTTACTTAATTTAAGCATTTAAGTGATAGTTTCTGTTTATACCACAGTAAAAATATTTTTAACAAAGTGGTAAACACTGAATTTGCAAAGCACACAGTCAAAATTACTAAAATTTCCTTCACTTTACCTGGTAATCTAGGTGGTTGCATAATTGGGGTTACTGGAGAACTTGAATTAGCAGGTGCTGAACGAATGTTTGACGATGGTGAGTGAGAAGGATCAGCAGGCGAAGGCGTCCAATACTGCAGTGTTTAAGGAATGATATAAGAAAGTGAAAGGAGACAAAATGAAGATCGTATGTTGAATAAATTACAAGAGTTTGAGTTACAGCAAATTAACATCAAAGTATAGCCTCCCATAATCTTTAATTGGCGTGAATAGAATCTAACTTTATTCATCAAATAAGACATACAGGTTGCTTATAGGGAGATTCGATCTGTGTCTGGCATGCTGCTTGCTTATCGATCACCATGTCCCTCAATCTGAAAATACTGATTGTTCTCGACTGCAGTAGATTTTATCATTACAGAACTGATTGCGAAAATCTAAAATAGTATGAAAGAAATAAAGAACATTGAACATCCAAATTTCTTCCACAATCAAATCGACTACCGAAAAGAGAGTTAGTAAATGACGACTCAAGACGTCTATCTACCGCGATATTTATATAAACAAAAACAATGCAACTTAACCAAGAAAGCAAAATTAAAGAAATAAAAGTTTTGGATGCAAACCTATGAGGGTCAAGATGTCCCAACGGACTTGGAGTTTCGTTTACAAATGATGAACTGTTGCTACCCGAGCCTGGTGTTGTTACGTTACGCATTTCAATCACCTGTATTTGAATAATATCAATAGGATGCTTTTTGCAATTGTAATGGCTTTATTCTTATACGTTACAGTCGCCTCATCAAGGCGAGCAACTCTGTAGATCAATCATTTAGAAATATTTCGAACTACACATCAAAAGTCAACATGTGAAGGGAAATACATTTTCTGATTCTCGTGAAGTATTTGCAATATCACTGTCGGAAGTGCATGTTGAGCCTTCCATTATTTAATCTGAAATATATTTTTATAGTGCAATAGCTTTAGTTTTATCCACAGCTAATATGACACATATTCACTAGTGCTTTATACAAGTTTGACTGTGAACCAAGTTTCTTACATATTTCCAACTTGTAAATACACTTTCTCCACTGACAACCATATTTAGACAAATACGCATAAAAACGGAATGATCAAAGAGAAGTTTGCATGGTTCATTTCGCTCATAGAATTTAGGAGATGATCTAGAAAGCATGGAAAAGTACCACCCACAAACTTTTCTATGTACTTCAGAATTTAAGGTATCAAATAATTATCATAAAAAACTACCCATGAATGATACTTACGTTAACTGTTCATTTCCTTGTTTAATTACCATGTACGACACTACTAGTAATGGTAAGCAAGCTAGCAAAATACGCATAAAGGTCTCATTTTCTTGTAAAATACTGCTTTGTACAGAAACTCCCAATGAGTATCTGAAGATATGAAAATAATTCTACTACCTTCATTAATAAATAAAATACAGTGAAGGTTACTTCGGTCTTCAGTGATATCATTTTACTTCCAAGAACCTACGGGACTAATGTTTCGAGTAGGTTAGTCATTTTAAACATTGCAAAATCTTGAGTGAAAAAAATCTGGGACTCCTGCTAAAGCGCAGAAGGACAAACATTACTCCATAGTCTACATCTCGAGAGTCACCACCTGACCCAGATCGTTTCCTTGCGATCAATCATTTTCACTGCATACCAATCGATGAGCCTTGAAGTTGCACAATCTACAATCGTGGCAGAATGATTTTAAATTATTGCAGCCTTTGGGATTTAGCTGGCATCGAAGGACGGGTATGTGTGAGAGCAGTTTGCCCGTTGGACACTCAGGCAAGCCACTGAGCAGGTCGAGACAGTGTGAAGTGTATTGCATGGGTACTCCAATTCTTTCTAGAATTTGTTGGGTGGTGTACTGACTGATACATCAAAAAGGTGACGACGCTGTTGAATACTACTAGGTTTCTCTTAGAATCCACAGATTTTATGATAAGCCCCTTTCTGAGGTTACTTTTGATTCACTGTGTCTTATACTTACTGCACTATCACAAGAGGCATAGTGTATTAGTGGAGGGATGACCTACTGCTCTTGAAATTAATATGAAGTTCATGAAAGTGGATTTGGAATGTTAAATTAGAGAATTTCGGATTTAACTGCGTGAAGTGCGTTTGCAATAGTATTTCAGAAATTGAGAGCCTCTACAAAGAATATTGTCGAAAGTACTGTGAGCCTATGTATTGTGTCATTGTATTATTAGATTCAAAATTTCATTACAGTTGTGTCTTGGAAATACACCTTTCCAATCCAATAATATTTATCTGAGTTGTATGCATTAGTTCAGATATATCATTAAAATTTCAGAATTGCAAAGCAAAAAGCAAAAACCTTTTAAATCAGGGTAATTCCAACTTTCCAACTTATGCAGCCTTTGGTAAATATTTGCATATTTATCAAATGGTATTATCACTCAAAAAAAAAAAAAAAAAAAACTGATAGTCACTCAAAATTTTTATTTGTGCAGGTGCTGCTTCAGAAAATACCATTAGTTCTGGAGTATTCTTTGAACCTTGATATGTTTGATGTATGTCTGAAACAAGTTCTGTAAATTTGATGTACATATGAAGGAAGTTTTATGAACAATCATATGACAAGCTAACTTGCTTCTTAGATCTGTTATTCATACCGTATAGGATCTTTCTCAATGGTGAACTCTTTTTTAGGATTATTCATGCCATGTAATGACTTGCTCAACGTTGTTTGTTGGGGATCATGCAAGGTTGAAAATTTTCACATTCTAGAAGAGGTCTGTTCCCATTTCTGAAGTTAATATTTTAGGGAAAGGGAGGTTTGAGCTTGAATATCTTTCAAAATGATAGTTTATTACAGACTTATCACTTTAGTTTTTCGTTCCGAGTTTTATTATTACTTTTGTCTATACCTCATTTTCACTAAAGAGGATCAAAATTGTACTGTCGTTAGTACTAAGCATCTTTTGTTGTTTAGGCAGTTCCATACTATGCCTATTATGGCTTTACTGACTTCTCAAAAGATTTCACAACTTGACAAGCAGCACTAAGCGTTGTTCTCTCAAAAGCCTGTTAATACATTCATATATATCTTCTCTATTTTTTTCTTTACGGCACTGTTACAAACTGTGACGCACTATTCTGTTATCCACTGTTTCCTCATTATGATGGTATTGTGATGGAGTCGTCCGTGACTGATGATTTCTGCATGCAGTGAGCTGCGGAAAATGGTTAAGTTCGTGGGTAGACATTCTGCCTTCTGTGGTGAGGTTAGTTATCTTCTTTTTGGTGCGTAAATTTATACGAACGCTAAAGGCTGCAAAATCTAAACTCTTAGAATTTAGATTCTGCAAATTGCATTTTTTTCATCTCTTTCGACTTATATTTTTGAAAAGAAACTGTGGATTTAAGGTTATGTTCAGTAGAAAAGAGATGATCGAATGCACTTCTACACGAAAAAAAAGAAGAAAAAAAGAAACAAAGATTCGCCAGTTGTTTGATTTTGATTTTCCGTAGAGTTTTTGCATACCTTTTTCTAGTTCCTTCATGTTTTCCCAGTGAAAGAAGCAATTCATCTCTGATATTAATAATGTCATGAAGAACTGATTTTCGTATAAGATATTTCTAAATTTCAAGCTGTTTTATTTCTCTTCCTTTTTAGAATAGCCACGAGATTGAATCAATCTTTCAGAAAGAACTTTAAATTATGAAATGCAGACTTAGTTTTATAACATAGTTTTGAAACGTAGTCTTCTATCTCATAATTTCCTCAAACTGACCTTTCCTCATATAACCAAAATTGAAACTCTGAATATATATAATAATAATTACTGGCTACTCCTCTACTGTCATGGTAGCGTAAATTGTTACGAATACCCTCACTGATGTCATATGTTGCTTCTTTTGAAAATTTTTGTCAATTCTTCTGCTTTTTATTCTTATGAATTTTGCGAAAAAGTTAGTTTGGTTGGTGGTTTTGCTGGATGATACATACTGTACAGTGCTGGTTTGACTCACTATTTCAAGATATATAATTTATTAGCGGTCTTATTATATCCCGCATGTCAAAAGATACTGAATAAGGCACTGATCTAGCTGACTTCAATTTAAATGTTTTTTATACATTGTTGAATGTTTTTTTTATACATATTTGCGAATCTGATATTCATTGTGCCATTGTTACTGTATTTTAATTTCTCTAATAAATGAATAGACGTAGCTCATGATTTTAATATGGAAAGCCAGTGTCGCAATCATTAAGATAAAATTGTTTGCCATGTTTAATATTCCTTCATTTTACTGTTTTTCAGAAGTGCTACGAATTCTTAAGACTGCGGAGTTGCTGATTATGGCTTTCACATTTGCTGCATTTTGTTATCTTTTTGCTCTGTTTGCCGTAGCATTTTGCATTTTCTTCGCCATATTCACAGTAAGTTCAACCATTTTGGTTTCGGGAATAGTAGAATTCATTTCATATGAAGGACGCAAAAATTGCGTATATGAATACTTCGCCTGTTTTTCCTCTCTTTTTGAATTATTTAGGAATAATCTTTCAAATGTATAATTTTTGTAGAGACTACGTATTTTTAGACAGCCATAAATAAAGACAATGTACGTAATCTTTCAAATATATAACTGTTATTTTGACATCAAGATTGTTTTTTAGCTCTGCAAAATTTTTTAACGCAGGCTTGTAAAGAACTTAAATTTTGATTACGTATATTCTTTTTTTAACTTTTTTCTCCTTAATTTGAAAAGAAAAAATATACAACTCGCATCTCATGTTATTTATGACTGTCTAGAAACATACACTACCATGGTATCAAGATGGACACAACACTACAAACAATAGTAGGAATGTTTTTTCATTGCAGACATTGCATTTTATTCTTATTTCAGGTTATTTGCATCGATGAACTAAAGACAGAGTATAAAAATCCAATAGAACAGTGCAATAGTTTGAACCAGGTCTGCTTTGTTTTTTCTAATAATTAAAGAGCTATTCCTAGTACTAATTGGGAAACTGAATTAAGTTCAACTAGTATTCTTGATGAGTTCTTGCAATCTTTACAGGTAAATTTGTTAAAAGTTATCATTCAAATTGTTAGGTCGACTTTAAAAAATTTTTATGCTACCTATAGTTTTCATGCAGAGCATTATTTTATTTTTGTTTTTCTGAAGTGCACGTACTGCAATTTCTGATTTTTTTAGTTGGTTTTACCAGAATATTTACTTCATATCATCCTTACTTTTCTTTTCGTCTTGTCGTTTCAACTTGGAGGACTTTGCTGGAATATACCACTTATTGCATATCATATTCATAGGTACATAATTTTTATTATTATACTGTTGATTATTTATTTATTGTTTTCACTTGTATTTATAGATTATTAAGAAGGCAAAAGAATAGTAATCCTTTTGTTGTATTTTTCCAGATATATTCAGCGTCCTGTGATGACTGGACCAGGAATATATGACCCGACCACGATTCTAAACAAAAATGAACTTCAAAAAGCACTAAAAGAAGGCTGGATAAAGCTTGGATTCTATCTGATATCTTTTTTTTATTATTTGTATGCCATGATATACACGATGGTTACTTCCTCTTGAAGAACATTTATATAAAAATAGCACTTGTTCTAGATTAGATGTATAAAAGTAACAATTACAAACGTACTATATATCTTTTTTTAATAACTTTTTTTTTTAAATTTTGAAAACTATGAAATATTTGTATATATATATATATATATATGTGTTGTATTTTCCGCTTGCATACTTTTGTGAGTTTGAATGTAAGTCTGGATTAATTATAAAAGCGCATAAAAAAAAGAGTTGCTATGAAATCTGAAAGCTGCACCACTCGTCACTCTTTTTCCCGTGACATTTTTGTTTATGAAACATTTCTTTCATATTTAAGTGATTGTTAAAGTCTTTTATGCGATCTCTTCGCTTCTTTTGGTATGGTTTTCTGATGTCATTGTTCATTTGTATAGCTTAAGCAAATTGCTAAATGTTAATTCTGAATGTAGAAACATTAATTGTGCATCTTCATATTACGAATATTATAAAGATCGACATTAAATTACATATTTCACTCATCTCAATGTTTTGAGAATTGAAAATGGCAGGGTTACTGCGTCTGAAATCCCTAGCATCTTACAGAGTTCAGTCTAGAAATTAATTCAGTTTCGCTTTTAACACAAACTATTTTACATTTAATATCCTAACTGGGGCTGTAAAAGAAGAAATTGAAGAGGTTGAAATTAATAGATGCTAGGTGATTTTCTCAATCAAATGAGTAATCGTTTCATCGATACTTTTGAAGTGTTGTGGTGCAACTTTTATCAGTCGCAAAGGCAAGTTTTGGGAGAAATTTTTTCATCAGTTTAAGCTTTACGCAGAAACAGAATAGTTTGACTGGGGGGTGACAGCAGCGATATGGCAATGATAATGTCATTGGTGATGGAATGTTCACTGAGGGGCACGGTATTTGCCACTGTGATTCAAAAATGACAGCGATGATGGAAACCTGTTAACAACGATGAAATTTCATTCCACTCCAATGTACAGTTGCATCACATTCCTGATCTTCTCTAGACGTGTTAACAACATCTACTTCACATCTGTTTCGCTCAGATTTGTTTCACCTTTCCTCATATAACATAAAATTGAAACTCTGAATTTTCTAAATTTCACCACTAATGATTAGTGCAGCATTCTTATCACAGCCCAGCAATTAGAAATAAAAATTTTCCTCATTCACTCAAAATTTGGTTTAACTCAGTTTGCTTCAATGATTCGTACTAGCATGTTGTGGCAACTGAAGAAAAAGTGATATGGGAATTATGTCACCGATTTTATCTGATTAAAAAAGGTGTCATACACATATACCTTGATAATGACTCATATTGATTGATATTATTTATGTTATTATTAGTTGGACCTACATCATTTTTGACTTCTGATTGGGTATCACAACAGTAACTCACATAACAATAACAATTATTAGTAGACACTGTAAAACTGATAATTCTTATGATTACCTGCAATGAAATTCATGAAGTCTTCGCAGATTGCACCGATCTATATTATGCATACGACCCTTTCTCCTTTTGACCTTTCTTATCACTTGAGGAGTACAAGCATTGAGAGTTCTAAATTATCCGATGATATCTAATAATCAGTTCATGTAACCTCCATTAGTGTTGGAGTTAATTATTTTTTAGATTAATATCTAAAAGTGAAATGAGGGGTGCTCTTGTCAATATCGTTTTATTTGTATAGAAGTTTAAAAGTATGGAAGATATAAAAGATTAATGTGATAGTCGCTGCAACCGAATTGGTTAGTTAAATTTAAAAGCTTTTTCAAAATAAAAGGGAAAGAATTTGCTCTCATTAAATTGATTTCATTTCAGAGAAATAAAAGTGGATGTGATAGCTTATTCCAGGATTATTTCAAAATGTTTTCTTGAACAGTATGCGCTGTTTGCAATTTGCAACTGGCAATACCTTCTATATGGCATTGAGAGTATAAGTAAAAAGTACAGCTCTTGTCGTTAACATAATCAATGATACCTGCAAAAAGTGCTTCTCACGTCATTTATGTCTCCTCATTACCATTGGTGCTTCACGTTTTATCTGCTCTTGATTGATTTCTTTTACTTAACGCTAATCAGCGTCACGTATGCAACAATATTCTCTGATTCACTGGATCTATGTCAAACTCAGTGTATTGATCGAAATTTGGTTAGGATCTTACATTTTCTTCTCATAGGACATCATAATAACGGGAAAAACTTGTCTCAAATCTGACGTACGTGTTATGAGCATTGTACAATTTACAGGTAGTTGCGCTCGCTCGTGGAGCAATTGATTGGGATACTTCGCTACTTGAAATTAGTCTAACTCAACGAATTAATGCAGTAAGATCTGTTTCAATGGTTATAAGACAGTTAATTAATAATATTCCGTCGTATCACGAGTATTATGTCTTGGAAGATCATAAGTTATAACAAGAAAAACGTATCACAAGAATCTTACGTGCATATTATGAGACTTAACATTGTTTATCTGTTGTTATGTGAAGTATTATTCAATTCCATTCTATTCAGTTTAAATGAATTAAACTCATATTTTGTTGACTTCTTTTCTTAGTTGAATGAAACAAAATTTTGCAGGAAAAATGAACTCCAGGTAAAATTACAGATATTAACAACAGATAACATATGTGAATTGAATTGTTATAGTGCCACAATGGTTGTCAAGATCTGGAATCAACAAATTCGACTTGCTTAGAGCGCTGTGATAAATTAATGCCAACAGATAGTTGCATGCAGGGCTGCCGTGCTGTTACCGATATTTTCCTTTATCATTTGCAAGGTCAGTGAGGTCAGTTTTCGCTTGATAACCATATTTCAAGTTCATCGGGGTTAATTGAGGTTAGTTACAAAAACATAACACCCCTAAAATTATAAATGCGAAGAATATTATTAATTGAAGACTTACTGGGTCATGTGCAAGTTGAAATCGAAGATTCACCAGTTGGTGTAAATACAATTTGGAGTTTGGATAGTGATTATGGTTCAGTCATCAGTGACATATTGGTGGATGATGTAAAATGGGGTGTTCAGAGTCGTCCGGCTAGTGCTTCCGTCTCATGGGATACTACCACTTTTGAAAAGGTATTAAATTTAATAAACAATATGCGCTTTCTCATAGGGTATAGTTCACCACCTTTTTCATACCAAATTCAGGAAAACTGAAGAAACACTAGTACATAATGTACACTTCATATGATTAAACGTATCTACATACTGGTTATCGGAATTAAATTTTATCTTATTTCTATTTCTGTATCTTTAAATTTCGAAAATATTTTCCTTCAGGCATTTAAAATGGAAACCTTGGAAGCAAGTATAACTATACCTTCGGTTTTTGCTGAACAAATAGAGGTCATTATTTGTCAATATCACTAATTATCAATTACAGTTAATTGCTTTTTGTTATCTCTACTTAACCGTTATTATAATTAGGCATACTGTTCATTTGTTTAATGAATTACTCTGCAGCTTCGATTGTGCATATCTTGGCGGAACTATATTATCGTCTCTCCTACACATCGTCTTCAGATCAATGACACTGATAATGCTAAGTTGTTGCCTCCAACGATTATTTCTCACTTACAGACGTCAGCAAACAGTTTTGTAGTTTGTTGGAAAAGCGCGTTGAAGCGTTTGTACAAAGTATGCTTTTTTTTTATCTAAAAATGCATTTGACATACTAAGACTTTTTGATATAATATTGGATACTTTGTCTTACAGATCTCATTGTACTCACTTGATGAAAAGGAAATCTCAACAACGCTGGTGGAAAATACTTGCTATTTGTTCCAGGGAGTACCCACTGATAATTGTTGTCGTGTTGAAATTGGTTATGCAAATAATGATACTGCTTCTATATCCTTACGAATTGATCTTATCAATATTGGTAACCAAAAGAACTATTAGAATTGAATTTAAGAGTCACGCAAGAACTGATTGAAATTAACAGCAAATTAGCATTGAAATTAACACCGAAAATTAGCAAAATTAATGGAAATTAATTATAATTAATTTATGACAAACTATTATAGAAAGAAAGCCAGAATCGACAGCGCAATTAATTTTTACGAATGGTACATCAGTGATGAAACTCTACGATATTGATGATTACGCTGTCCTTAGCGACCCAAAATTAATTCCATTCGAGTTAAAGCCCGGCAGATCAATTACTGGTAACTGATTTATAAGTTCACATCATAAATTATGTTGAAGGGTAATGCTAAATAACTTTCACTTGCAATGCAGATGTAGTCATTCTCTTGCAGATGAAAAAGAGCTGTACACAATGCTTGATTTGAATATTATTACAAAGATTATCTCAGTGATAAGATTTGACCACTCGAATCTGATGTCGTAAAATACTGCACTGAACTTTTTTGCAACTCTTCAGCTTTGCAGCAGTTCGATGAAGAATAAAATCGAGGAGAAAGTATATGTACTTTAAGAAATGAATTTACAGTGCATGTTTTTATAGCACTGTGCACCGTATCAGCTGAACGATTATTAATTGCATTAGATGACGGTAGTATCTACTGGTTAACTATCGGTGATGAGGTATTAAGCGGAATATTGCGGTCACCGGACGGCACAGCAATTGTTCATATGGATGTTGATCACATGCAAGATGCTGTATATGCCGTTCTTTTTAAAAAAGGAATACTCAGGTAATTTGTCCTTTAATCATCTGTTTTAGAGTAAAACTATACTAAAGCTAATCCAGATATAAATAATGGAAAAATGAAACTTCGATCTGATGACTTTTATTTGACAAAAATATTCTAAAAGTTTATCACCAATATTCGCAAACAAGTTTTGAAATCTCAAAATTGAGTTAGGAAGGATGTTTAAAATTCTTGAATTTAACATTTGTCATAATCAGATGTGGCTTAATAGACTGCCTAAACTCGACAATTTTAACAACGAACACAATTAATTATATCGAATATATCTCGATTGATTCATGGAATGGGTGAGCTTTTTTTACTAAATAATGAAAATGTATTATAAGTTATCTAATTGGACAGGCACGATTGCAATAATTAAAATTATTTTACTTAAAAGGATCAAAGAAAAACTATCATCACAGGCATATATATTGTATACTAAATGGTGGCGAAGTGTTCTCGATACCACTATTTCCACTGGATGCCCCGCATATTCTCCCATTTTCTGCAACAGAAAAAATGCCCACTATTGCATTTGCTATTGAAGCAGAGCCAGAAAATTCAAGGCTAATTTCTCTCACACAAACTGGTTCCATTCTGGCAATAAATATCGTAAATCAATCAGTTACTGATCTTCGGCTGAATATTGAAGTGAGCGATATGTACAACAACATCAAAAAAGCACATCTTTTTGGAGAACGACTGTTTTGGACATCAACAAGCTGTGGCGACACACATTCCTGGGATAGTTGCTTGTACGGCGAAGAATACGATGTCGAAAAAAAGGTTAACATTTTTTTAATTATGACATCTATTGAGTTACAAAAGCAGAAATCATTATTTTTCTATTTCAAAGAAAAAATTTTTACTCGCTGAAATCGAATCTTTTAAATTTAGAAAATGCATTTGAATCGTTATTTGTACTCCGGTCGAGTTGTTGATTTTATATTCCTTCGTGACAGTCCGATGCCAATAACAATAACCTCGCCAAGCAAAATAGGCCTTATAACAGCCGATAGTACTGCACGAGTCATTTGGGAATCTCCAACATTATTACCATTTCAAGGTAATTTTTTCAAACTTGGCAATCTATTATTTGTAGTACAAAGTAATCCTTTAAATTTTATGAAAAGAATTCAAAAACTCATCTTTTACAATGATGAGTCTATCTATTCTCGGAAGTATCAACGAAAACTTATTTCACCGAAATACTCAATTAATGCATCATTTTCAAAAGTCAAATTTTAGCACAAGGTGCGTGGCGTAAATTGCTTTATGAATGTCGCATAATTGGTGACGAAGAGGATGGCAGTATAACGGCAGAATTTACACAGCTTTCTGAAACTAATTTGTTAATACCGGTTTCTCCCGGACTTCAGTATCATGTATCTGTTCGAGCCTGCATCAATACGATATGTTCCGCTTACGCCAATGCTATCAATTATGCATTTGCCCCACTCACTGGTATATTCTATTTTATCCAGAATTCTTTAAGGAGCTCAGCAAAGACGATTAATTTCTGAAGATGTTCATTGATTATTCCTCATAAGGATAGCAATGTTTTTATTTCTTCTGTAGCGAAATTGGTTTATTGCACTTTTCAGAACCTTTACTTGTCGCATTCCGTCGGACGATCAATAATAATGTCAGTTATTATGATATTCTCGGTGATCCAATCGAAAATTACACATTGCGTAAGTTTCTTTTCCAGCAACAAATAAAGTAAGTGATAAAAAAAACACATTAGTTGAAATAAGGTAAATGCATGAGTGAACGTGTTGGTACTATTGAACAGAATGCTCCTTCGGCTAATCTGAAATTGACTAGAATAAAGTTTTAGTAAAGACTTATTGTTTTATTTCAGCTGGTCCGGTACCGGTAGATAAAACAGCAGTGTTTGCTTACGATATTTTGGTGAAATCATTGTATGTTGCTAATACGGGCAAGGTTATAGATTTAATTTGATTTTTTCTACTAACTGATATTGAGCTATTTTCGAGTGTGTTTGATAGATTAAAGCGAATTACAGAATAGAATAACTCGAATACGCGGTGATGGTTCCCAACAACATTTCATGGATTCAATAACCGTAAAGTTCATGACAGTGATGTCGCGTAATGCACTGATCGTCGTTGCATCTGATTATTTAATAGTATCATATCGTTTAACATCCACATTTGACCAAGAGTGAGTATTTTAATCATTCCAAGAAATATCAGCAATCCTCTTCAGTTGCAATGAATTACCTATGTTAAACTGACGTTTACTGATCTGCTGATCTCATGATCTCATGATATACAGAGGTCGAGAAACACGTGCATTATATTATAATAGCTGTTTCAGAAAAAAAAGAAAACGTTATTTAATGACTTATTTATCCTTAAAACAATGTAATTCACAGCTTTTTTTTGTATAATGATAGGATTGTTTTTATTTTTTATTTTTTTTTATTTATGAAAGTATTTTCAGGATTTATTCTTGCGGATCTTTTAGCGGATGTGGTGAGGTAGGTGGTTTAGCTGGTGATGATGAAACGGGTGATATCTTCTATCTGATTCGTTTTTCAAACGGGACAACAAGTTTGTATGGTCTTAATCAAGATGTTCGCACATCATATTTTATCGCTTCCTCGCAAGATTTTCCTGCGTTAGTTATTGTTATTTAATTTTGACCCATGAAATGAAATACTTTTCTCAATGCTAATGTAAACGATGGCTGTAAAAACTCCTGCGAAATATGAGCAGTACATTTCATTATCTGGATAATGTTACCAGCTATGAAAGGAACGCAATAACGGGTAGTTTTGATAATTTGAAGAAATTGAATTTTTATTTTTTAAATTATGATCATATTTATGAAACAAAATGAATAGGGACTCGTTTCAGATTGCGGCAATTAATTGTTGTGAAAGAGAAACTAGTATTTATCACTGAAACAGGAGAAGTAGGTGTCTGTGATAAGAAACTCGGTTCACTGAACATTCATTTGGCTCTCAAGAATGTGGCGCTTATACCGATATTTTATTTGGATTCTATAAAACCAATCAATTTCATAGGAGCCTTAACGACGGATGATAATACTGCTAGAAATACGCTCACGTGGGATATTGAACCGATGTTCTTAACTGGAAAGATTATTTTTAAAGTTTGCTGCCTTTTTTATTCCTTCTTACTTCTAAAATATAATAATTCTAGGAATTCTGCAGCAAAATGTTAGTAATTTTTTAAAAAATATAACAAAAATAATAGATTGGTAACACCTGAGAATTATGCATATTATCTAAAAGGTCAATGATGGTTCATGCAATAAGAGGTCATTTCTAGATTGATATAAATAACTTTTCCATTTAACTTCTACATCCTGTTCGATTCATTGTTGTAAAAGTTTGATGTTTCAGGTTACAATATACAAAGAACACTGGGGTCGAGAACGTTTTGTGGATTATTCATTGTCACATAGTTATACCATAAGTGATAAACTTCTTTGTCAATGGCCTTCGAAACAGAAGTATGATGCTGAAGTAGAAGCGCTAAGTGCCTGGGATTTGATATCAATAAATCAAAGTGGCCTGATTGCACCAACCAAACCACCATCTCCTCCAACAAATCTAACCATCTATGCTACACAACAAGTCATTTTTTCTTCTCATTGTAAATGTATTCATTTTGCATTCATTTCATGGTTTTCAGTCCTATATATATAATGAAATTGAATCACTTACATCTTGATTTTTTCTATATTAACTTTTTTCTAGTTGTCTAATTATTCGGGACATTTAGTTCTTTTCATCCTTTTTGTAAGTTAATAACTTGAAAAAATTTCAGTTCTACAAGCTAATGAAATTCAGTGATATTTGTCAATAAGTTACAGAAAACTGTAGATGGTGCCCGGGCATTAATGGACTTGTTTTGGGAGGAACCAACAGAATGGAATGGGGAAGCACTGGGTTATTTGGTCAATTGCACAGTGGACGGTGTCAGTGAATCGGTCGCAGAAGTACCTGCCACAATACGTTTCTATTCTTTTAGTGTGAAATCGGGAAGTGTCAGTTGTGCTGTCGCAGCTCATAATGAACCAAAACTTGAAACATTTTCGGAAACTGTTACTATTGATAGCAGTGGTTAGTATACCTTCTGATGTAAAGAAGTTTGCGAAAACAAAGAAAAATGAAAACCTCATTCCATTTATTGTTGCTTGCTTCTTTATATGCTTTGCATGATTTCTTTCGTTTAATGAATGGCATCTTATGTGTCCTCTATCTAACTATACCTACCGCAGTACTTTTGCTTTAACTTTAACAGATATATTTTTAGAATTACGACCATTGGTCCGTTTATTTGCGATCGATTCTAATAACAATGTATTCGCTATCACAAACTGGTCGCCCTCTTCGTCTCAGCAGTCAACTCGTGCCAAAAGACAGACCTCATCACTACTAGCAGTAAAGATTTTGAACAATAGATAAAACTGAAAAATAGTTTTAGATTCCAAATATATTTGTTTTCAGATCATGGAGCAGTCAATAGCATATATTGGCAACGACTTATATTCGATAAGAAAAGATTTCGGCTCCACTCAACCCTCTCTACTACGTCTTGATCCTAATAATGTGGAAAATATTCTACATAAAGTAAGTTTAAAATGCACTGAGAAATGAAGATGATTTTATGAGCAATTTCAGGTTTCAATAGGCGGCGAAATTGGTAAAGTGGACGCAATGACATCTGACTGGGTAGCTAATCGTTTGTTGTTCGTTTCAACAGCACGTGTCATGCAATTACCTCTTGATGCCATTCAAGTATCTTAATTTACTTATACTCTTATTACAATTTGCACTTGCTCATATCGATGGTTGTATGAAGAATTGTTCAACGATTCAGTGACACTCTTACCACAATATGTTAAGATATGATGTCATTTGACTGTGCGAACATAATACATTAGGAATCCAATTTCAGAGTCTTTCGATGATTACACCACGTCGCATAATGAATCTTTCATCAGGTGCTGGTGATGCGAAACAGCTGCTTTTCGACCCATTCTCCAAGTTTACTTTGTCCTCTAATTTTTTTGTTGATGTTTCTCCTTTTTGTTGGAATATTTTTCACTAATTTCTCAACCTCGCAAATTTTTTTTTAAAACAATTTCAGTACCGCTTTTTTGCTTACGAAAAATGGTTCACTTTTTGCATTGGATCTCAATATGGGTGTGGAAGAAAACATGGCCCTTAGGTTTACTTTTTTTTTTTTTTTTTCAATAGAGATGTAAGCTACGATTGTTCTTCCTTTTATTTAATTAAGTATAAGAAATAGAATTTGAAGTATTACTTATTAGGTTAGAATGTTTGAAATCAGAAACTGTATCTTGGATGATGGCTGATTTTGCCTGGAATCTTGCTTCATTACCAGTCATTTATGTACTTACTTGGAACGGTATGGTTCGCGTTGATTTAACATCCTCGAAGTGCGAAGAAATAAAATTTGCATGGGAAAAATTCGGAGGTATGTCTTCCGTTATTTTTATCATTCTTTGTGAAAATACTAAGACAACTAAATAGTTAAGCTTTTTAGAAAAAGGACTCAAATCAATACTATCCTTTGCAATCGCTGATAAATTGTATATTTTTGTCACCTCCTCCGCTCTAGTTGTTTATGAATTGGGCTCTTCAACAGTAACACCAATCGCCGTCAATGGTTCGCCACTGAAACAAATTCTGGTTGCTACACAATCTACTCAACCATTTCCGGGTATGTATTTTTGGAATTCAAATTATCTAATGGGTAACGCAATTAGGCTAGGTTCCAAAATTCGAAGAAAACCAAAAATGTTTTCAATTTTTAATTTTAAATCTGTTTCTCATCAAAGCGATTTTTGCATTTATAATATGATCATAGAGCTAACCATGCACTAAGAACTGTATTTTGGGAAGATTTGCATACGTGGTTGGTGTTTAATATATGTTGTTCTCAAAAGAATCTAAATGACGTGAAGGACTGTTCGTTTTTAACAAAAATTATTTAAACTATATCGATTCCAGAACGGTCGTGTTTTGTCTTGCCCCCAGCATCTGAAATTAAGTTCACTGTGCAAAACGAAGAACGAAGTGGAGCATTAATCTCGGTTAACGAACCTCAGCTACCCAATGTTTGTCCCGTATGTTTTGGTTTAGTTCTTAACAGTTATTTTATTTCTTATGAATACCATGGCTTATTGCGTTGATTTACCACAGGGTATCACACTTCCTCTGACGCAGTACGAAATTCATTTCCAACGAAGAGGGTCTGATAAAATTCGCAGCATTCACAGTATTAGCAATGTCCTTCATGTCGAAAATGGTGTTCTGGATAAAGAAGCTGAGTAAGGCGTTTGAAATCGAAAGAAAGTTAGGAAAGCACTTCTCTGCTAGGTCTAAAAGTTAAAAAAAAATTTTGATCAGATATTTGATTAGATATTCGTAATAATATTTGATTAGATGTTCGAGATAATTCGGATGGGGAAGTATTTCAGCTTATGTTGGACGAAATACTTATGTTCTTTTAAGTAATTTGGAAACTGATAGATAGCTTTTGTGAAATGTTTTGCTTTTTGCCTTAGACGAACGATTATTTCTTGTTTCCACTATTGTAGCTATGATATATCAGTTTCATGGTTCAATCGATATACACCGGTATCAGAAGCTAGTGCAACACAAATGCTTCGTACCGGTTACGGTTTCCCTTCATCACCACTGGATCCATTAGCTTTTGCTCTGACTCCAGATATTGTATTACTTTACTGGAAATTACCTGCTAGACCGAATGCACCAATTCCTGAAATTAAATATATGGTTTGCTTCTGTTTTTTTCTCCTTTAATAAACTTGGATGATAGCGATGATTGTGCTGCCATTTATCACTTACTAATATTTGCATTGTGTCTTTAGAAATGTTTTCTTGACATTTCTGATCTATCTTTTTTCCTGACATTTTTGAAGACTAAATATAAGTTTATTATTATTAGTAGTAGATTCCTAGGGACCATTAATTAAGTAGACAGTCTTGAGATGGATTTGTCAAATATGTTCCAGATAAGTCAGCTTAGTGCGACACAGATTTCTCCCTCAGCAATCGGTGCGCAGCAGTTTGAAGGAGCAAATTACGCTATTATGCCAACTGATGTCGTTTCCTGTCTGAGTAATCCTTGTTCTGCAAAAATTTCCAATCTGCGCCCTTCTACCGAATATAAATTTTGGGTAATTTTGATTGAAGAAAAATGCTGGTATAAAGTAACATTTAAATATATATGATTGTTTTCCAGTTTTCCAAAATGCTATTCATGTTTATCCGCAGTGGAATAATTGAACAACGGAATAAACTCTTTAGTTTTCAATTATTTGATTTCATTGCTTACGGCTTCACTGATGTTTTCTGTTCATCAATAAAAAAAAAAAAAAAAAAAAACAATGTTAATTTTTGTTGAATTAAACCCTGCAAAATTGGAAAAGAAGACCAAGGCTTTGAATTCAGGTGCGTGCAATCCATGAAAGTCATCTAAATATGCAATTTGTGGATGATGCAGAAGGAAGTTCCGTAGAAGCATCAGTTCGTACGAAAGATATAGCTGGAACATTGCGTCTTGACAATATTACTGGAACTGCTGTTGTACTTCGGTGGAATTCGCTCGACCCTGAATGCTACCCAAAGCGTATATATATCCAGTATCGGATTGTAGGTTATTTTGATTCGTCTTCTGGAATTTTGCTGTGAAGAATGTTATTAACAATTTCTACGTTATGTGACATTTTGCATTTTTATCATGCTGACGAATTTTCAAAGGATGCATCTGACAAGAAAAAATCCAAATCAATAAAAAAAAAAAAACCAGAACAATCAGTGAAAAAAACTAATCTTTCTCAGATATTTATTGCTTTATTGATTTCTTCCGTGTTTAAGGTGGGAACGAATACTGTTTGGAAATCACCGTATAATGCATCCTTCGAAGGTTCTGCTAAATCGGTGGCTGTAGTTGTACGTGCACTGCATTCGGCCACCACGTACGACTATCGTTTTACAGCGGAATACGTGGATAGCTATCATTATGCAGATCATGATTATTTCTACAATGAAACATTTTTGCAGGTCTCACAGCAGTTTCGAACAAAACGTAACGTTTTCTTACTTAACCCAAGAACAGAAATATTGGGAAAGAAATAGACATAATTAAATGAAAATTTCTTAAGTAAGTTCTTTTTAGCCATGCAAAATTCTTGCTTTTTTAGCTGGAACTCCGTCAGCTCCCGCAAGCATACGTCTTGTTCAGGAACACAATGAATGGGTAGTACGTTGGGACAAGCCATTAAGCGATGGTGGTTCACCAATCACTTCATACGCTCTCGAATTCAGGTTCAAGAAATTCTTACATACTAATACGGTTAAAATTAGTTTTATTGAAAGAAACCAAATCAAAATCAAACGATTTCTCATCAGTTCTTTAAATGTGTTCGTCAGTTTACTTATTTATTTTTCTTTTTTTTTTTAAAGACCAAATGAAGATGCTGAGTGGGAAATAGCAGAACGAGGATTAGAAGGTGGCTGCTTGTGGTGGAAACCGTTGAGAATAAATTTTCTAGCTGAATGTGCCGAATTTCGAATTCGGGCAGCAAATTCGGAAGGCTTCGGTGCATATGCATATTCAAAGCATCATAGTGGTAGTACTGTTTGGAAATTTATTCACTTCTTTTTTCGTGATTTATTAAGAGTATGAAATTTTTTTTACTGATTTTTGCTCTATAGTAAACTTTTCTTATTCTCATAGCTCTCATTATCATCCTCAACTTATTGTTAAAAAATTTCCTGCACTTAACTTTCAGATCATTTAGGAGAATCACACACTCATTCGTTATGGATTATAATTGTCACACTTCTCATCGCTATCCTTTTACTAACCGCTGTCATTGCTGTATTATTTAGTATGTGTTTCTAAAAAAAAATTTCTAAAATGTTATTGTTGTTAATAGCTAGATTTAAGATTAAGTTTCTAAAGTTTCTATTTTTTTCCAAAATTTTACCGGACAATGATATATGATCTATTCTTTCTTTTTTAAGTATATTATCAAAGAATTGATGGAAGGCATAATAATATTCGATCGCAAGATATAAGCTTGCACGGTTATACGAATTCAATGAAAAGAAATATTTTTCCTCCACAACTTATTAATGATCTGAAAAGTATGTGATGATTTTAGTGTTGAATGCTAAACCAGTAATATTAGTGATTTTTTAAACGCTTTTAATTAAATAAATTTTTTAGTTATTTCTCGGGTACCGAAAAACAACATCAGTTTATTACGTATAATTGGGAAAGGAGGTTTTGGAGAAGTTTATGAAGGAGTTGCAAATGGATTACCTCAGTCACCTACAAAAACGATTAGAGTTGCTGTCAAAGTTGGTCTTGAATTTTGAATCATATAATTAACTTCTCATATGAAAACTCGAGTGATTTCATTTTAGAAAAAAAATAATTAAAAGTTTCAGACTCTAAGAAATGGGTTTTCCGAATCAGATCGGATAAAGTTCCTTCAAGAAGCAGTTTTGATGAAGTAAATTCTGAAGATTTTTGTTTTCTGAAATATAATTAGATAGAATTGCAATTATCATTTTAACATAAATTTTATTATTTTCAAGCAGTTTCGATCATCCCAATATTGTAAAATTATTGGGTGTTTCACTGGAAACAGAGCCATACTTTCTGATTGCTGAACTGATGGAAGGCGGAGACCTTCTTGGATTTCTTCGTTCCAGGTCTTCTCTCAGTCTCTTTACTATCTTTTTAGTCATTTTTGAAATGAATATTTGAATATCTTACTTCTGCAATATATTTCTCTGTTACTCTTTAATGATTCGTTTAGCCGTCCATCTGACTGTTTCCCGTCACAGCTTTCGTTGTATGAACTAATTGGAATGATGGTTGATGTAGGACGTGGTGCTGCTTATCTAGAAGTTAAGAAGCGCATACATCGCGATTTAGCAGCTAGAAATTGCCTTATTTCTTCGAGGAATTCCAATACACGAATTACAAAAATAGGTAATAATTGACTACTCTAATATGAAATATTTACTTGAAATTTTTTATATAAAAAAAGTCCTATATTGGAAAATTTTTTAAAATGCTCTGAAAAATATTAGACTTTATTCTAGGCAAGAGCTAAATAATTTCGATCATCCCAATATTGTAAAATTATTGGGTGTTTCACTGGAAGCAAAGCCATACTTTCTGATTGCTGAACTTTAGTTATCAGTTTTCTTCCCAAATGTTAGTTCATGTTGTAGGTGATTTTGGTCATGCTCGAGATATTTATACTAACGATTATTATCGTGTACATGGGGACGATTTCCTTCCATTACGATGGCTTTCACCAGAATCAATTAATGACGGTATTTTCACATCAAAAAGCGATGTATGGTCTTTCGGTATACTACTGTGGGAAATTTTAACTCTTGGTCAGCAGCCTTTTTCAGGCAAAAATAACGTGCAGGCAAGGATTTCTGATGAGCTATTTGGTCCCAGTCAGAAAGGGAAATGGATCTCTACAATTATTTTTATGAAAGTTTTTTGATTAATCAACTTGTTAAATAAGTGTTTTTTTTTTTTTTTTTTGAGTATTAAAAGATTAAAAATTGTTGCTGAGAGAAGAAATTTTGCTCGCTAAAATGACAAAAGTTTAAAGCTTTTTTTTTTTTCAGCTATTTGGTTACAGAAATCCCGAAAACCAGTGAAATCAGTATGAAAAATCAAAAAAGGAAATGGATTCTTTTTTTTTTTTCAGAAAATTATTTTTATCAGATATAATTGTCCATTACAGGTGATGTCCTTCGTAAAGAACGGTGGTAGGCCAGAGAAGCCGCAGTTCTGTCCAGATGAAATGTGGGCTCATTTTTTAAACTGTTTTATCATGTTTATTTATTGTTCACAAACAATTTCTTGTAGTTTCACTATTGTGGAGCGTGCATGGGTTTACGATCCAGAAGAACGTCCACGATTTGCTGATCTTTTGCCAGAACTCGAGGCTTTGCGTGGTTGTCCATTGTATCAGGTTTTTCAACATTCATGATTTCTCACTTGCCGCTTTATTATAAGGCTTTACAAACTGCTGTGATGAGCCTAAACATATTCCTCTAAAAGTCAATTCTCATTTACATTTGAAATGTAAATAGGCAAAATATTTTAATGTAGGAAGATATTCCATATCCACCGAACTGTTCTTCTCTGATAACTGATTCAAATTTCGAGTTTTCATTCAATTCTAACATAAGTCGTGGAGAAAGTGGACACAGTGGAAGTATCAGGTTTGATAAAAGCGGTCAGTTTGTAATGATTTGAAACATTAATGAGTATATTGGATCAGCAACTTTTTTCTGCAGAGAATGAAACTTTTTCTCACAAATTAATGGAAGTAATTTTTTTTTTTTTTTGTAATTTTTTGTTGCTTTTCAATTCAGTCTTTCACTTTCTATTTTTCCTATAAGCAATTATTTTAGTTTTTTTTTTTTTTTTAGACAATCCTTCAGCGAAGAAACAAGGCCGTCCATCTATTTTACGTTCGCTTCGTAGAGAACGTTCAAGACCGTTTGTATGCTTCATTCATATTTATAACTTTATACCGATTTCTATAGCAACCAAATTCTCCACTGAAAAATTTGTATTTCTGAGATAGAAATTTTCATCTTTCGAATTTTATTAGCATTTAGTTAGAAGTTCCTCAAAAGTATTGAGACTGATTGGAACTAACTAGCATTAAATGAACCGTTTTATATTATAAGCCTGTCATTCTGCAGTCCAACCTAGCTGACTTGGAAGCTGGTAATCGATCGAGGTCAGTGAATAGTGTTACAAATGATATGAATTCATCTACACGAAGTCAAGTCGTTTTTCACTTTGTTATATTATTACTTATTATTGTTTTTACTGAATGGTTGATTATCGCTTACAGGCTAACTGAAATTTTTTTTAAGATTGCGACGAAGGATATGACAATAGCATTTTCATATCGAATTGCTGTTACGGTGAGTTACTCTCTCAAAATACTTCTTTGATCGGTTACATTTTTGCTCGTAGAGAGATGCCAATAAGACCTGTAAATTTTAGAGGTGCCAAAAAAATCACATACCAAGAAATCACAGCTAAACCGATCAAAGCAGCGAGCATCTGAACTACCAAACCGTTCTCCTGTATCGTCATCATCAAGTCCTCTCTCTTCTCCGAGGACTCCGTCATCTGGTAACAGTGATATTCCATCAATGTATATTCGTCCAGCACGAGTTAGCCGAGTTTAAAATAAGATTTATCAATTTTGTATTTCGTAATTCACTATTCATTTCAATTACCCATTCTCTATGATTCCATCATTCGTTTAATTCTGCATCCCTTGTTTTAGATTTTAATAGTGCAAGATTGTGGGAATCAATAACGAACAGAAGTAGTTTAGTCTAACATTATAGTACATTTTAAAATAATCTTTAAAAAATTCTTTCTTTAAAAATACATTTAAGAAAATCCTTCCTGTTTCTGTTATTGCTTCAGCATGTTTAGCTTTTTTAGGATGTCTTTAAGAGATATTGTTAGGTATGTATCTAATTTCAGGTGTTCAATCTATATTTTTTCACTTCTATCCTGATATTTTTAAGATTCAAATCGCCTTTGCCGTAAAAATTGTTTTCAAATTTTATTGTTAAAATGGATGAAGTCCTAACCATTTCGAAATGATTGAAAAGAATTGACAAAAAAGGAATTAGAATTAAACTAAAAATTTTAATATCCGACTAGTTACAATCCATCGCAGGCTTTTGACAAGCTTTCTCCTTTTGAAAGTTTTTTTTACGGTGTAAGAAAAAGCGTCATTCTTTATTGAAAAATTCCAGAAGATACGGGAACGCGGGAATAACTATTACTTGCTTTCGTTTTTTTTGGCGAGTGCTATGTAATTCCGTTTTAAAGTGATGTTTGTAAAAAATTTGATGAACAAATGAAGAATCATCTGTACGCATCGGCCGATCGGGGCAAATGTAGCCAGTCTCGGTGGTCCTTAATTATTAACTATCTCTGGCTAATGTATTTCTTATGTCGAAAATTTAGAACAAGAATTTCCTCAATTCAACCCATCCAATCGATCTCTTATAAATTGAAGTATGCAGTGACATTCCAAAAAAGGCTTTCGTAAATAAATGAATTTAGGTTCGGCAAGCAATAAAAAAATAAATCTAGCGAAATAAAAATTGCATAACAGAAAGTATCAGGGGCTAAACTACAAATTCACTTTGTGCACAAAAAATTGTAAAATTGTTTATCTTAAAGACTGGAACATGAAAATACGAAGGTGAAACAACATCTAGCAAAATAAAGAAGTGCAAAAAGTTTCGAAAGCTATCATCTCATAAATGATTGAAAAGTTTGATAAAGATGCACCAACGATGGGACTTTGTTTCTTCGATCACTTTTTTTTTTTTTTTTTTTTTTACAAATTCCTTATGTTCATACAATATTTAAGAAAGCAGTGAATGCATCAATGGAAGCATAATTCATTAAGAAGCACAATTATCCTTATAAATTTTGTCACTTCCCTTTCTGTGAGAAGGAAGGCATGGGAATTAATAAAAAGTGGAAAAAAGGATGGAGAGTGATGTGCATATCTGCGAAAACTGTTAAATCAGAACTGGTTAATTATTTCAGCCAAATCATTTTACTATTCCTGCCAGCAGGTAGTAACTTTAGCAAAAAAATCCGTAAAATCCCTTCAATTAAACAGTCAATTAAGCAAGAGAAAAACTAATAGTAACTGCAACTTTTCGATTTACTTTAGCACTCGATCATTTGTCTCAGAAGCCTATTTTAGCTTCGTTTTTTCATTACTAGAATAAATTCAAAAAACCACTCTAGTATATAAACTCAATCAGCTGAAAGGTACAAGCAAATTTTTAAGTAAAAAATTAATATTCGGCACGAGACTCCAGATATTCAGCATCGATATTTTGATAACATTCTCTGCTATCACGTTATCATAACAACCCGCTGAATGATATTAGCATATTCTTCTAAGATTGTTGAAATGAAAGCAGCTTGTGTAGGGTCATAAAAAGTTTAATTTTCCAATTCAGTTCCAGGGAAATATAGAAAAAGATGTGGCGTGGACCCACTTTTAACAACGCAAACAACAGTGTAATAGATCACATAAAATTAAAAAGTCATTTGAATATTTTCCCCTGATTAAATATCTTCCCGTCGAAATCACCTTCCCACATCAAATATTCATTAACAAGCTTCCTCGTTTTTTCATCAGCTGGATCTAACTTCTTCCAATCGTAGCTTTCATAATCAATCTTAAAATGAAAATATAATGACATTTACAATAAAGATAAAATTTCCGATTAATGCGACACTTAAAACTTTCTTTTTATTTTACTACGAGTTAATTGCAGCCTATTAAAACTCGCCTCATTTTGAGAAATTCATTCAACAAACCTGCCAATCTGGTGAGAGCTTAAAAGCCAATTCATGTCCTCTCCAAATCCAAATCCCTGATATTGTTGAGTTGTTATCCGTGCCAAACAAACAAACTGATGCGAAAGCATTTTTCTTTAGTTTTTCTAATCTTTGAAACATCCCTAAAACTTCAAAACTTATAAGTTCTAATTTTTTATAATCAAAATAGGAGACTGTGAAATTCAAGGCTAATAAGTTGTGGGTGAAAGTCTATTTTAAACACAATATATTCAATTCATCGTATAATAGCTGCCTACCACTTATGAGATTACAACTCATAAATGTAAGAGTCAAATCTTCGGGGTATTTATACTCAGCAAACCAAATAGAATAATTCTCCGAATCAAAGCTCTCCCAGAAGTAAGGCAGTGCTTTCGTTGCTGTATCTTCATTCGAATAAACTCTCTTGAAGGAATCCATCACAAAAGTTCTGCAAAACACAGTCTTTTTTATTGCATAAAAGAGTTGGAGTGAGAATAAAACCAGCCGAACATTTTAGAAACTAATCAATATTTTTATGAAATTCGTACCCTTTAGGCATAGCAGAGAAAGGATCAATTGATTTCGGCTCTTGAGCTAAAACTTCATCAGCAGCATCTGGTTCATCGTCCTCATTTTTTGCTCGTTTGGTTTTCTTATCTGAATTTCGACATGAATCTAAATATAGAGCTAATAAAAATGCATTTGAAAATTATGTAGAAGTGAAATTTACCTTCCTCCTGCTGCCCTTTGTTTTGTTTTCCGCGCAATTCCTTGCTTTTTTCATCTGAAAAACATCTCATTATAACGTATTACCTAACAAAACTATGATACACTGAAAATTCAAGTATCAAAATCGTAGAAAAGTTCCACGAGGAAGTCGAGTTTATTGTGGAACTCTGAACCTTTATGAGCAGTACGTTCTTTGGATAGTTTTGCAGATAATTCTTTGAATTTCGTACCTGCAAAATAATGAGAAAAATCTATCTTCACGTGCAAAAAATCTGGATTGCTAAAAGCAACCAACACAAATCATGTTTGATTTCTTTGATTAAAAAGAAAGGACAGTCCATCAGCAATATGCAATAAACAGCTTCAGGACAGCAATAGAACAGCTTTGGTGACATAATACCTTATACTTACTATCAAATTTGGATGCTTTTACGGCAAACTGCACTTCACCAAGGATATCTTTAACAGATTTTTGATTAATTATGGTTCTGAACCAACGGTTGACATTAATTAATGACGTACGTATCGCTTCGTCCAAGACATACTAAAAAGTAAGGCAAAAACATTCAGTAACCGACTTTTACTTTAAGTTTCACTTTAAGTCACAAACAAATAAGACTACTTGATAAGCAGGAAGTAAATCCATTGCTACAGAAATATCAGCAAGAGACATCCTTTCATCGATTAGGAAAGTTTTTGTTAAAAGCAGTTTATCCAAACACTTCAGCTGCGTAAGCAATTCTGTCTTTGCTGCTTCCAAGATCTGGAAAAATTAGTGAAAGACTTGATTCACAAACAAGAACAATTTCAAATTAAATGTTCTATAAACTTATTGCTATCAAAATGTTAACTGACATATATTACAACAAACAATCTTTCATTATTCCTGGAATTTATTAGTCTAACAAAAAAGCTAAAAAAAAAAAGCTAAAGAAAGCTAAATATACTAAGTACCATTATATCTTGAAATATTAAAACTAATTTATGCCACTGCACTGATCTTCTACTGAAAGGAACTTTATTTTCCCTTATTGGTTAACACGAAATCACAGAACAGATGAGTTCATCCGTACTATATTTTTTACTCAATCAATCACACACTAAAATAACAGTGTTAGTGATATATACCTCACTGTCAATATGAGCAACTGAAACACTTGGTAATACATAACCTAAAACACTTGGTATTAGCTGCCCCTCAGACCACTGCATCCACTGCAACATTTCCGAGCACTGTAAATAACAAAAATCAGCATTACATCACTTATCAGTGCAACAAACAAATATTAAGACGTAAAAAACAGAAATAACAAGTACCAGCACTGAAAGTGAAAAAAAGCCCATCGAAATAGGAAATAAAAAATATATTTTAGCCTAACATTTGCTCCTTTCATTGTTTCGCCTGCCAAATGAAGCATAATTGCGTCTGCACCGAATAACGTGATGCTGTTGTCTTCCATTGCTGGAGTCTTAAAAAATTTGACCACCTCGTAAAAACAAATCAAGCGAGAAGATAAAGTGAGCAAAATATCATCATCCTAATCATGAAGGTTTAAAAACGGTAAGAGACATGCAATATTTCTGCTTAACATTGAGACATGGTCATATTCAAGAAATACACCGATATACTAACTACTCCAAGAGGAAATTTGTTGTATGGAGGCTTTTGATCCAATACAGTGACATCTTTATTCCCGATTTTGGCGGCAATCAGAATCTTCTGCATTCGAAAACTTTTTGGAGACCCATAAACTTTCTAAAAAAAGCAATGTTAACCCTCATACATCATAACTATTAATGTTTCAATATTTTAACTTTACAATATAAATGTACTTGATAATACTGAACTTACACAAGACATTTTCTGCTGATGAAGTTTACAAGTTAAATGCAAGTCCTGAAACGTTCCAATGTATTGCATGAGGTTTTTTTAAAGAAATAAGTCAGTGACGCAGTGCACAAATAAATCTGTATTTTCAATTATCTGAGGATAAAACCTGTATTTTCAATTTTTGAGCATTACATATATAGTTGAACTTTTTTCCTTCTATAAGTGGAAGCTATCATGCTGATTCACTTCATTCTTAAGCGATTACTCTTCCTACCATCTTAAGACACAGAAAAGGATAACATTATGCCATGACAACGACCGAAAACTTATGCAGTTACGCTCAGCTTTCAAAACAAGTCAGTTCGATAAACCAATGTAAAGTATCAGATGAAACAGAGAGACTGGACAGCTGCGCATCTCGAACGTAATCCATTTTTGGAGAGACTTCCCAGCACATCCCTGACCAAGCATAACCTCCCTGTTTCCGAGTCCTCTCCTAACAAGAAGCAACATGTACGTGATCGATAGGCGACGACGCTGCACTCCTTGCTATTCTGACATATTGCGAATGAAAATATTCGATCTCACGGTTGTGGTAGATGCTTCTACATATTGGTTGACGAGATTGACGTAAGGTGTAAAATATTTTTAGTGTAAAAGGTAGAGGAAGAGTGATGAATATCATAAAGTAATTGCTTGTTAGCTTTAACACACATCTGCGTGATAAGATGGAAAAAATGGTTCAAAGAAGATATAATAGCTGTGTTTATTGTCCAGTTTATAATCATTATGGCCACATCCGGTGCACACCTGGCATTCCTTTTGATCGCAGTGTAAAGGTCACACTATCCAGCTTTGTTTTACGTAATTCTAGGTAGTTATAGGAAACACCTAATATATTTTCATCCTTTTCCTTCCTGAAATCCAAAAAGAGTTTCGGGACGAAATCTTTATCCCAAACTATCACAAGTTTCTGTTTAGCTTAATTATTGAGTAGTTGCCGTACAGCAAGAATAAATGAGGTGTGGAGAAGAGTTGCAATTCTTCACTGAATACTGATTGACTCGGCGAATTTCAATAGTTGTTATTTCACAAATAGCTTTGCTCATGTATTCGGGTGAATTCGCAGAGCCACGTCTGCTACATTCCAAAGGATTCATACAGTTATGCATCGATAAAAGTGCTACCGACAATACTGGGGTATGTGTTCTTCTTAGTGTTTTGCTTAATTTAGATAAATTGAGATTAGTATGCAATTACTAGGAATATTTGGTGATTTTCTATGAATCATCTCTTGCAACTGCAGACTAAATGCCACCATCACACCATTCCTCTGATATTCTGAACTTTTTGACATGCTTAATTCGTGACATTGGTACAGCGATCAACCCATAGAGGAGTGATGTTCGGTTCAGTTTCGCAGTATTTAATCCAAGGGGGGAACGTACTTCATGTTCTCTTTTTCCTTTGGCATACTAGCAGTAAGGATTACTTTGCTACGGTTAACCCTAAACAGTTTGAATGTTTTGGAAAAAAGTAGGGATTGAATACTTCCACTTTCATCGTATTATCAGCATAATATTTCACTTAAATTAATTTAAAAATGAATTCATTAGTAAGGGACAGTTTTCCGTGCCCTATATAAAAAAGTATGTAATTGAATTTTAGTCTTTCCTATCAGTTGGTACAGATGGGGACGTATGGATTTGGACGGGTGATGAGTTGGATGAAGCTGAATATTACGCTAAAAACATCAAAGGACGAACGCATTCTGCAATAGCTTGGCATGTAAGAACTTTCCGATATATTTCATTGATTGTATGTGACCAAAAATTTGGATTTATTAAATTCTAAACTTTTGAAGTTGCATAAAACTTTTCGACTTACAAAATGTTTTGTAGTATACAATACGAAATACAGGAGCTTACTGAATTATATGCAAGTTTCCGAGTTTATAGTGCAACGGTTCTCATTACCATAATTGATCATTGCTGTCATTATTATCAAAAAATGTTTTTTTAGGGAAATAACATCTATATCGGACATACAAGTACAGATAACCAAACAGGTATTCAAAAGTCAACAGTTTCTCGTTTTGAGAAAGATTCCTTACGGATGATTGCACCGATAACAACTTTTTCACTGGATTTATCGAGCATTGATATATCAAAATCAGGAAAATTCTTGGCTGCTGGTTCTATGTATGTTTATTCTGAATATGTTTGGAGCAGTAGAAAATTTTTAATTTGCAAGACTGATGTTAAAATAATTGTTAATCGAGTTTGATCTATTGCAGCTCAGCATGTTTTTGGATTAGTTTTATATTTCTTTCTTTTTCAGCGATCACGTTTTAAAGATCATCAATCTCGAAACAGGTGATGTAATTCGTTCTGAAGCGGATGGACAAATTATGTGCGTTTCATTCAACTCGAAAGATGAATATTTGGCTGTTACAGCAACTGATGGAATGTTACGCGTTTTCGACATAACACTTCCGAAGGGCGAACTTCCCGAACCAGTCACTATTCGGATCTGTTCGCGTATTGTTGACATTGAGTGAGCAGTTCTTCTAAAATATAGGTTTTTGTTTTTATTTAAGAACAAATTATTAATTTAAATATGCGTCGAAAATTATTTCAGGCCATCCAACTCTAAGCTCCAGCTATGTTGGGATCCATTTGGTGATAATCTTTTTGTTCCAGCATTTGGCTGTGTTAAAAGATTCGACAAACATTCGTTTGAAGAAATAACCAAATTCTTTATTGGATCAAATTCATATGTAATTCACTCACATTCTTACTATTTTACTTGCAGTCTATAAAAATATTTTGAAAAATAAGCATTTGACAGAAAATGTTTATCATATTGATCATCCAGTTGAAAGAGGAAATTGAAACTCTTTCCAATAGTTTTTTAAGGATATGTTCAGTGTCTGCTGTGTGTCGTCCTGTGGGACATACTTGGCGTCATCTACCATGAATGGTTTAATTTGTGTTTGGCAAATTGATACCGGTGACCTGCTGACATGTAGTAAGTATCAGATAAATGGACAACCAAAAGTGATTTGTACTATGTTTTGGCATCGGTCATTGCGGAATACGTTGTTTTTTGCAGATACTGAGGTATGCTTTAACTTGTTTTTGTTAAATTCGAGTTTTGCTTTACCCTTAATTGGCTAATTATTTTGACCTTACATGAGTTCACACTTTTTAACATGTCAATTGCTGCATGATACTAAGACATGTATTTTTTGAAGTGGAAAATTTTCCGGAAACTTCTGCTTATAGGAGCACATATGTTCCTTGAATAAATGCACGAGAAAAGTTACTTCGAATGAGTGCAACAGTACAGACTTGGACTTGCAGTGTGTAAGAAACAAAGCTGCCGTAAAGTTTTATGATGATGAAAATTCGCAAAGTATGTAGCATTTATATAATTTTACTAGTTTATCCATTTTCAATTTTTCAGATTTCCATCATTATACTTCCTCTTATTTTTTAATATCTGCAGATTTGGATTCTATTAAAAAGTCTTACGGATTTGATGAGGAGGGGCATTTCCGTGGTATCTTTGATGAAAGCGAGGAAAATCCTCACATTTTCACAACTGCTGAACCTTCGACTTCATGCAAACCAGTGGTTGTGCCAAAAGCTTTCGTGACTGGCTCTACCCCTGAACATCGAAAACAGAGATATTTGGTATATCTTTCCTCTGAACTTTCTGGTGTATGTTTATAAAGATTTCTTTGTTCATTATTATTCTTAAAGGATAATATTTTGAAGAAATGGAATCAATATGGTACAATAATCAGTTCATATAACGGAGATGATGGAAGAATTGAGGTACCTTTAGTTTTTATACCGATCAAAAGGAAAAGTCTACCGAGTACTATTTCTAAAATTATTTTAGATTTTGTGGCTTCAAACTGGTACTGTTTTCAGTGAGTTCCATTTTCTCCCGAATTTTTACTAATAAAAGGTTACATAGCTGCACAAAAGGATAACTGGAATACACTGAACCATCTTCAAAAATGGCTGCTACTTAATAATTTCTTAATATTTTGAACCGTACCACTACTATGACCACTGTTTTGCAAAGCAATTAGTAGGTGTTAATAATTTAGTCATCGTATTGAAAAGATATTAATCGAATGGAATCTCAATTATCACTGAAACTGGTCAACTCCAAGCTTTTGTTTGCATGCTTTTGAAATTTGAGAAAATAAGGAATTAATGACACAGATAAATTGGCACGATACTTCAATACATCCTGAAATTATCATCGACAATACAGCAAACTTTTCCATTGGTGACATGAATGATGAAATTGTTGCATTGGCATCAAAAGTCGGAGAGGAGAGTTTGAGGTTCGCTTTGCTTTTGCTCCATCATTCATTTCGGTAATTATGTTAACGAAAATGACAAAATTAAAAGCTTTAGCAAACAGTGGAAATGATGTTTTGTAAGATGTGGGTAATGACCAAAAATGACTTTGCAGTGAAATGCAAGTACAGTGTGTTAAAGCCTGGGATTATGGCTCAAGACAGTGGAGCGTAAAGTTACCAGAGGGGGAATCTGTTGAAAATATAGTTATCGGAAGAACTTTTTTGGTTTTGGCCACATCACAACGATATTTTCGAACTTTTTCATATGCTGGAACTCAAAAAATGGTTTTTTGTTATTCAGGTAGCTCTATGTTTTTAATTTCTTTTCGAAAAGAATGGATATGAGATAAAATTAGCAAGATGAAAAAAAGAAAATTTCTGTGATTTATAATTCCATTATTTTAGGGCCACTATTTACTATGTGTGCATTCAACGATATGTTTACAGCTGTGATGCTGAATGGTGGTGCTTATTATGAAAGCAATGAACCACAATTTAATGTATCTTTTCGAGCTTTTTTACCTTTCTTGTTTGCTTAAAATTGACTTTGAAATTGATTTCACATGTTGAAACTAACCATTTTTAATTTAGTTTGTAGCAAATATTTACAAAATGAAAACTGAAGACTGGCACAAATGTCAGTCTCTAGTACAAACTGTTCCAATAAGTGTGGGTCGTAATGCCAAATTGAATTGGATTGGTTACACAAGTCGTGGAACATTATGTACAATGGATAGCAAATGTATATTTTGTTGCTATTGTTTTTTCTATCATATTTGTGCAATAACTAATTAGGATTTTTTTGAACTTTTAGAAGGAAGATCATTATATATATATATATATATATATATATATATATATAATTAGGCTAACAAATTCCGCACTGAGTGAATAAATTTCAATCTTTAACTGAACAAATGTGCTCGAAAGTGCTCTTTGTTATTTTTTTTACGGTTTCTTTGTAACCAATGAGATTCAAGTCACATTTATTAGAATCATTTACCGAATAACTCTGGTTTTAGATTGTTGTCGGATTTTTTCCTCTAATGGCATTTGGATTCCAGTTTATGACTTTGCTACTACTCTCAAAAGTAATTCAGACCATATATTTCTGATCAGCTTTATGGATTACCCGCATTGTGAAATTCGTTATATATATTGTCGAGGGATAGAATATCCTTTAGTGGAAAGTCGCTCAATCCCAGCCGTTGTTAAGTGGCAGCTTCCTCTCTGCAATCAGGTAGACATTATTTTAGCCGATATTTTGCGATATTTCTCGTGAACGGTAGTACAGAGATAAAAATACTAACATTGAACTTTATTGCAATATTTGAAAATAATTTTAGTTTCTGTTCTTGTAATTAGTGACTAATCACCGAAAATTTTATACTCAGGATACAGAAAAATCGAAACTTGAAGAGAAGCTTTTGTTAGCTGAAATTGGTAGCTATGCTTTAAACAGCGATGATGAGGACAAAAAAGAATCCGAGCTTTTAGTTCGTCTTTCTTATGTTCATTTTTTTTTGAATTACTTTTAAGAGAATTATGAACATATTTCGAAAGTAAAATTTTTCAGAGTCCTAAAAGATTTGTTTCCTCTAATTAACAAGGGACTTCTGTTTTATATCTCAAAGTTTTATAGGATATTTCGGCGACGTACACAAAAGATGTTGTCCGATTATTTGCACTTGCATGTAGGGCTGACCGTCAGTGTCGTGCAGCTGAATTCGCTACTTACACACATTCTGGACAAATAGTCCAATCTATGTGCAATTTTGCTTCTAAAACACGACATCCTTTACTTGCAGAGAAGGTTTATTTATTCATTTTTTCCATTTGTGATTAAATTAATATTAGATTTTTTGGTGAAAAATTGTTTTGAGATTAAAATTAAGAAAATTAGATGCATTATTTTGCACAATTTCTTTAGCTGGAAGTGACTTGGTCATTTTAGTTTACATTTTTTTTTTCTTTTTTCGCAGAAAATTTCTTTATCTTCGATAAGTTGTTGATCACTATTAAAGTTCCCCTCAATGCAACAAGTCTTTCTGTTTCAACGAATTTATCTAGGTTGCTGAAATCGGAAGAATAAATGCTGTTGCACAACAAGACGTAACGCGAGATGAACATGAGCGAAAGAGAAATATCCTATTAGAAGATAAGAAGAAAAGTGATTTTTTGGCACCTAAGCGATTGAAAAAGGTGGACAGTTAATCTGTTGGTTCTGCTCTTTTTTTTTTTTTGAAATTATTGAGACTTCGTAATTTCTTTAAGCAAATTTCATTAACTATAGGATCGCATCTCCGATGAAGTTGTTGTCAAAGCAGTACAGGAGAGAGCAGAGCAAGAGGAAAATGAACATGTGCAGAGTTTAGATACCACTTTGAGTAATGAATATTCATCATTTTTATCTCCTGTTCAACCAAGGCTACCTTCTAACCCCTTCAAAGTACAGCCTTATTTTGTTGTCTAAAATAATATTTTTATGTCATAACTTTTGTACCAAATGCAAATTATAGTTTTTATGCTAAACGATTACATTTTATTCCTTTCGCTTCTTGGATTATATTCATAATTATATTTATTGTTAGTTTACAGCGGAAATCTCAGAATACGTTTGGCTCAAATCAAGACAACTTTTTCGATTCATTAGCTTCTGCATCTTCAACTACTTCACGAAAAACAAGTGATGATATCAGCGATTGGAAGAAAATGAAAAGAGAGGTGGTTTAGAATGTAAAGAAAAAATTATGTTATAAATATCAAAATTTGAGTTAATGTATTCTCATCAGCTGAAATTGTTTAGTTAAAAAGAGTAAATTTTACTGTGCGTGCTGTTTATGGAATCAGTTTCCTTCGTAATGCTACAATCTGTATTGCAGCCGTCGAAAATTCGACAAACTTCACTTTCTGTGAAACTTAATGAAGAAAAGTATGATATTTTCTCAGTTCCAAGTGTGTTATATGGGTTAAGAAGTGCATATATACATGAACATTCTGATTTGCAAATCTAACAGATATTGTAGATTGGAGCTTTTATTTATTTTTATTGATCGCTTGAATTTTTGGGAATTTAAGATTAGTGTATTATTTTCAATTAAGAGAACATTTCAACTAAGTTGCTGTTTACTAATTCAGCCAGTACATTCAGAGGAATGAGTGAAGCGAAAATAGGATTCGATTTGTGGTTAAAATCTATGGGAAGTAAATTAAGGAGAGATTATGATGGATACGGAGATTTTTTAGAATATGCTATCAAACAGTTTCGACACCTAAAAACTGAAGAAAAACGGGTAAGGATTTTCTGCGTTTTCCTTTACATATGGATTTTTCATCTGTGTTTTCGTTTTTCGTAATGAATGTTTTGTTCGAAACATGGAAAGGTAAACAATTTTTTTAATTTAAGCACTGGAACGACTTGGCTCAAGCTTCCAAAACTTGAAATATCTGTTATTCAGTGATTATTACTCTGGATTTTTTTCTATACTTTCGTTGTTTTATATCGAAATCTTTTTTAGGAAAAATTTCTTGCGCGTATAGAGCTAAGTCTTATGGAATAGCTAATTAAAAAATTTCTTGTTTAATTCTGTTGAGAACTTTTTTTTCATTTAACGATTTCTTTCCTTTCAGCACACTTTTCCAGTTTAGTTGCATGAATTATTCTGTTATTTGATAAATTTTTAGAAGTTTATGGTTTTAGAGCTTTCGATTTATCCAGTATATCTATTGTTTTTTTCTGTGTTTTACGCTGTAGTTTTTTACATTTTACGTAATTGTTTTGCTTTTTGCTTTATTGAATTGTTTTTCTTATCGATGGAGATCCGTAATGCTAGGTTCCAAAAGTTTTCTGATTTTTGTCTTTTGTATCAATAAAGGAATTGGGAATTGTATTTTTCACTTGTTTTTTTTTTTCCTTCCTCTTTGTAAGAACTATTATTTACGCTTTGTGGAACCAGCAAATGTACAACTTATATTGAATTATAGACGATTAATTTTAAAATAGTTTTAAGCGAGGATAAACACGAATTTTCAACCGTTTTTATTGTTTCTAACCGACAAAGCAAAAATATAAAATTGCTAAAAATCATGAACTTAACGAATGGATTGTCAGCTATATTAATATGATGCAAATATGATTAAAAATGGAGAAAAGAAAAATAAGGTAATGAATTTCTTCGGAACATATTTGCACTTAATTTGATTTGTTAACTTTTAAAACAACAAAGGGCTATGGCAGAAGGCTTTCCAGTGATGTCTTTTGTGTTTATACCAAAGAAACCAACTCACATGTTTTTTACTGTTAGTATGTATCTTTCAAATTTTGATTGAATTTTGGCACTGCAACAACTAGTCTTTTTTTCTACGTTTTGTAGAAAGCGAATATTGGGATATTTATTGGTTTTTTAAAGATATGTTGAAAAGTGTTAATTGCAAATTATAATTACGCATTTCTGTACCACTGAAAAACATGGATAAAATGTATGTGGTTAAAGAGTTAAAAAGTACTGTAATTATTTACGTATTTCTTTCCAATTTCCTTTCACGTGAAATGTCTTTAGATCTTTAATTTGATGTGCCCGTTCCTATTGGTACTTTCCTTTTCAATAGCAGACAAATGATTGCTTTATTGGTTATAATTGATCGCTTCGAAAAACTCTTGGCAAGTCAGGCGGAAAGACTTCTGCATTTTATGGCCAATGGACAATTGACCTCGAGCAACTAACAACATGAAAATAACTGCTGTATAAGTCTTGTGAGACACCTGTTGCTATAGCTTATTATGCATCAAAACAAACCCACTGTACAAGTTTTTCACTACTCTCTTTCAACTATCATCACCAATAAGGACTTTCAATCACGCCTTAGTTTCACTTATTTCCTATAAATTTTAATAGATGTTTTTCTAATTTACTTAATTGAATAAGCCAGGAAAATCATACAGGAAAGGAAAAAACGATGATTACGCGTAGCGTGCAGGCTTGATGCTCATCAACAAATGTGACGTACCTTCGTATTTATTACCCTCCTTCATTCAAATCATGTTTAAAGGATGAGAAATCTCTTAGTCATTGTCAGTGGTGGAATGGATGGATGAAAAATTAATTTTTTAATTATAGAAATATTGAGATATGGTTATTAAGAATTGAGTGAATTTAATTTTGATTTACTGTGATATTACATATTTGATATTGGTATTTCTCAAATTCCTTTTATAAACTCAACAGCACTTAACAGTTACAATAAAGAAGTAAAAAACGAAGAGAAGTTAACAGAGAAAGATTTCTATTCCGTGTTTTATTTTCTTATAGCAAAAATATAATAACATTTTCCACCACAAATGATACTAAACGTTTCTAACACACTGTCAAGATATGCTTCAAATGTCATGAGTGATGCTTAAAGAGCAGATCTTCCACTCGGGAAGACTTTTTAATGAGAATGAGAAATGTATTTGTTGCTTTGTATAACAATCGAGAGCCAATGAATGACTGAACATAAACTTCTAAAAAGGGGTTGCTACACTTCGAAGCTGGGAGTCACGTGTATCTTAGTTTATTAGTTAATTTTTTAGCTTTTGTCTTAGTTTATTAGCTTTTGGTGTTATAATGTCACTCCATGTCATTACAATGGAAATGAGAACGATTAAAGAAATCTTGAAAAACCAGAGCAACCAAAGCGGATCTATTTATTTATGAATTCTTAGTCTTTACGTGTCCTTGTCCTGAACTGTAATTGAATATTTCGAATAAGGTTGTATTGGGATAGTTCCTTCCCTCATATTATGTCTGATTTTTTTCTTTTTCAAATTAGAAACGGAATGAATGATCTTCTCTCTCTCTTTTTCAAAGAAAAAAATTAGAATAAGTGGAATGAGTGATTAAGTAACTGTGAGATTTGATATTAGTGTGATGAAATATTAGAGAATAATTCATTCCAGTAAAACCTTAAAGTACAAAATATTTTATTATCGGGCAGTCAAGATGAAACGGAAACATGAACTCAAACTTAACTATTCATTTTTTGAACAAAGTGAATTGAAGATTTAATACAATTGTATGCTAGTTGTCCCGATGTCAAAGGAAAGAAACAATTGTATATGCATTTTAATTCCTTTTACTTATTGCAGTGAGGAACAGCTGCTACACGACAAAGTTGTAAAAACAGGCCAAGCCTATATTTGGACTAGCTGCTAGGATAAGCAAACCTCTATTCCTCCTCAAATGCTCTCCCAATTAATTTTGCTGTCTTTAATCTTTAATTTGGTTTCCGGTATATATACTTTTTTTATTCTATTTTTTTCTGCTTCTACGACATTATCATTATTTTGATTTTAGCTTATAACTAGAGAAAAAGAGCCTAGCCAAATTCATTTCTTTTCATGTGAAATGATGTGTGGAGATCCGATCATTGTGAGAATATTCTCGAATAGGATGATGGGCTTAAATCCAATTATATGATGGAAGCAAGCTAACTTCCTCATTGTTTTTTCATCTGACCATTATTAATGAAAAAAAGTTCCCATAGCTATTTTTTTAGCAATGTCCCTTTGAATCATTGGTTTTGAATTTGCTTATATTAACTCTTTGACAATACATAATTTTGAAATGTAAACGAGTGAAAATTGTTAACACTTACAAGTGCTTATGTTTACAGCTCACGTTTGTTTTTATTGCGTTTCATATGCTCATTTACTGGGGTCAAATTTGCGATATCAACTTGGCTCTCAAACAGATATTTTCAATTGGCCTACAGGTGCATCTTCGTCAAGTTGCTCTAATCCAATATTAGCCATGAATTCTCATCAAATCCACGTTCAGATATGCACCAAATTTCCACTCTGTACAACGTTATCGCTTAACATCGCAAGTATTTGTTTGATCATTTCAATAAAAAAGAAAGTGAAAATTATATTTCAAAATTTCGGTGACAAAACGACATGATTTCCTGAAAGCCAATCATTAATATTTTATTAAAGCATTAAATTATTAATGTCCTTTACAGAACATTAATAGCACACATATTGTTCCTTAATGAAACTTAACGAAATTCATATTTTAAAATTAGTAAGGATTAACTGAAATTAAACAAGAAGATTTTTTAAGATATAAGTTTTGTCGTTCGTGGATGCATGGAGCAAATATTAGCCACTAAACTAAGAATCGATGGAAAATTTCAAAAAAAAGGGTTGATGCTTTTCAAAGTTTACATTATATTTTATATGTTTGCAAATAATCAAAATGTCAATTTATACTAAGGCATTTTTTACCTACGGCGAGAATAGCATTTACTTAACATTTAACGTCAACATTAACTCAAAAAAATTTGTTTTTATGCTTATTCAAGCGGAAATATAAAAATTGATTTTATCAAAATCTAGGCCATGAAAGCTAATCTCTTTTTAGATATTATATAGTTATGGTCCTTTGATGACATGAAATAAGCACTAAAAATTAAAAAAAACTTTTCAGATGCTACATAGTCCGTTCGAAACGATTTTATTCCACACTTCCTCCTTTAGAGTACATTATTTGTGTTTGCTCTATTGAGTATTGTAATTCTGATATGCAGAAATCGTTCCTGCACAAAAATCAATCGGAATCTGATCCCATCGGTTTAGTGTCCACTGTTGAAGATGAACGGCTAGCAGGAGCTGAAATGCATGATGTGACAACTGCCCTTAATTCATTACCTGCACTTGTTGTGAGTCTGCTTTTTGCGAGTACTCTGCACAATGAAATAATTATTTATCTTAACATTTAACATCAACATTAATTATTTTTAATACTTAGTTGACCGGAAATAAAAATTTGAGATTATCAAAATTTAAGCCACCAAAACTAACCGGTTCTCAGTTATATAGTCTGTTTGAAGCGTTTTTTTTAAGAAGAAAAATTCAATTTATGAACCTTATTTCCTATCACAGTAATTGTAATCAAAAAGTTATTAAGGACACAACAAAACATTCTGAATTTTCTCTATAAATTCCGGGATTATATGAAAATTTGAAGTTAACTATTAATATTAAATGAATGCATACACTATGACTAGAAACTTAAAAAGCACATTCATATAACCTTAAAATAATCCTCATGCATAATTCTGATATCATTCTGTTCACAAATGTTCATAATTTTCAACAGAGATATTAATTATGACGGATCTTTATCCTCACTTTAGTGCAAGAGAAGAATTTGATAGAAAATTTTCAATTCCATATAACTTTGTAGGTGTCGGAAAATTCAATTTTTAGACATCGTTTCATCGGTTCTTCGTTTTCCTTAAAAAATCGCTTCAAAGCAAAGAAATTTAGAATGCTTCATTTCCATATCATCCATTTCTACTTCTTTCTTAATGTTGCTAGTAAAAATTACTCACTTATTTAATGAGACCTATATAGGCCCATTTTTGTTTTTAATTTAACTATGTTCAATTCATCACATCATTCATATCTGTTCTTTAATGTAAAGTGAGTTAAGTACAAAGGTTTGCTTTTCAACTTTAAATCTGATAGTTTTTTCTGCTTCTATGCCCAAATGATCAGAAATCTTGGCCTTTTTATGGAAATAAAAACAATATACCAACGGACAAAATTACAACATCCCATTCTTGTCATTATAATTTATCATAGATTTAAATGTCTAAGTGCTTTTTCATTTCCAAATAAGATGAAATTTTCAGAATAAAGAACTGCTTAAAGCTTCTTTCTAGTTTTTTTTCATTCGTCCTCCCGTATCCTGTCAACACTCCAAATGTTTGTTGTCTCAAACTTTAATTCAACAAAAAACGGATTGCTGCTGTTCATAAACATCATTTTAATTCAACTCAAAAAAATTACAAAAAAATTAATGCTGATTCTAAAAATAAGACACGTTATCAAATTCGGTACTGTGAAGCTTATTTATCGATTTGTAATTTTCAGTGATACTAATGGGAATTGTATTAAATTTCTGATCTGATTAGTATAATCAAATCAAGGTTTCAAGTTAATTAGCAATTCTATAGCTTTGAGCTTAAAATATTGAAATATTTTAGATTTCAAAAAAGCAATCTGTAATGACACTAAAATTACAAATTTTATTGATGAATAAGTGGTGATGAATATTTTAGATATATAATAAAACGCTTTTTTTTTTGCGTTATAAATATAGTGGAAACAACAGCAAATAAGTGACGGTTTCTTAACAAATCAATAACTAAGTCAACCAAATATTTTTACTCAAACATCCAGTCACCACTAAATAATCTGAAGTTGATTTCCTTCAAGAAAAGACTTTCTAATCAGGTTGAAGCGACGCTGAAGCTGGACTTGAGACGATTGAATTGTAAGCCAAGTTGTTTTTGTAATATTGCACTTATTTCAGATGTATTCACTGCATGAACAATTTTGTGAACATGCAAAGGAATTTTTATATAGTGCAGTGAAGAAACATCATTCAGGGCTACTCTGGATGAGGCTTGATTCATCTTAGCCAATACTGATCCCATTATTAGCCACACGAATAACAACTTCATCTCTCATGAATTCCTTCACAGACCAACCGACCAATTGTCTATCATTAAGTGAAATAAAAAAATGTTTAAAAAAAGCAAAATAAAAAATTCAACAATTCTTTGGTCCATATTATAAAGCAAATATGACTGTATATGCTGTCACGCAAGCAAAACAGTTGACAATTCGGCTGCTACGATTGTCCCAATGTCCACACTTATAAAAAAACTTGTATTGGATATTGGTTTTCACAGGCGAGCTGTATAAATAATCCTATTTCTTTTCACGTCAGACAAAAATATTTGAGAATGTTTCATAGTTAGGCTTTTAAGGTTTTTTTCTCGAAGTAGTTTTGTATTAGTGCTAAATAAAGAAGCGGTGTATTTACAGGCATTTTTTATAGTGATTAATTAGTTAGGATGGGAAAACCAAAAGGTATACGTACGGCTCGGAAATTGAAGACACATCGGCAGGCTCAGCGCTGGAACGATAAAGGATACAAAAAGGCTCATTTGGGGACTCGATGGAAGGCCAATCCATTCGGTGCAGCATCACATGCCAAAGGCATTGTTCTCGAAAAAGTGTACGTATTTTTAAATCTTTACTTCAGTAGAAGATGCCATCCTTCGCACGACACTTGACACACAGCCATGCGTGGAGTTCTTACGTCACTGAATTTATAATTTCGAAGTTTTCTTCAAGAGGACAAAGAGAGGTCAGCGAGATCGTTTAGATACTGATATGGACGTTGGTGTTGAAGTCTTTGGAGAGCATGGAGTGATATTCGGTTTACTAAAAAATATATATATATTTTCTTTTCTAGTGGTGTTGAAGCTAAGCAGCCTAACTCAGCTATTCGTAAGTGTGTACGTGTTCAATTAATTAAGAATGGAAAAAAGATTACTGCATTTGTCCCGAACGATGGGTGCTTGAACTTCATCGAGGTCTTGTTTCATTTTGTTGTTTCACACTCCATAACGTTATCTGTCATTACTAGGTCATTTAGATGTTTAGTACCATCTTCTGCTAAATTTTGTTAATGTCGGTTTTTAATGATCCGGATTTAAGTTGACAAAGGTAAACTAAAAAGCGTATAACTTACATTTTTATTGCTTTACATGTGCAGAACTTTACGAAGAATACCCTTCATCCCTTGTCTATCACTACGTGAATATGCAGCTATTGTCGCAGTTTTTATTGCAGGAGAATGACGAAGTCCTGGTGGCCGGCTTCGGTCGAAAAGGCCATGCAGTGGGCGACATTCCAGGTGTGCGTTTCAAAATTGTGAAAGTAGCTAATACATCTTTAATTGCTTTGTTTAAAGGTAAAAAAGAGAGACCACGTTCATGAGCATTTGTTGTCGTTTCCTTTTCGATTTTGATTGTCGTAATGTTGATGCATAAAGATTTTTAAAAGACTTTGTTGTTTCTCCACTTCGTTTTTGGATATCAGCAATTACTTTGATCATCACTTATCACGAGAAAGGCTTAATTCAGCTCTTAAGTTAACTTTATTTTAAGTTTGAAAGATTCCCAAGGTTGTAATAAAATTGAAGTATCGCTGACAGTGTAGGAACGACTCTTCGTTCAAAGTGCTTTGATTCCATTCTCTGTAAGACGCAAATGTGTGACATCATGATAGGATAGACGCGACGAGACCATCATTTTCATAAAAGAATGTTCTCTTTGAGGTTAAAGTGATTTGATGCTGAAGTGGTCAAAGCAATTTCTATTAACAGATGTTCGATTGAGTTCCTTAAGCTATCATTCTACTAATATAGAACATGGGGATTTGTTACAGTGTGTAGGGTATGAGCTGGTTTATAGCATATCTAGAGAGAGATTACCTGGGTCATTGTCTGCGAGTTTCAAACTCCACTGGCTATTTTACCGGCTGTTGTCTTACGGGTCTCGACGTTTAAAGTTGAGAGATCTGTAATCCGCTTTGTTATGCAAAAAGGGGTAGGATGATCAATTGTCCTAAAAACTAAATGGTTCCACCAGAGGTTAGTGTGATGAACAAAGGGATATTAAAAGAATTGCAGATGTCGGTAGAATGTCCGGTACATCCCGGTGCACATCTGGTGGAGGATCATCGAGCTGGTGATTTGATCTGCCCTGAATGTGGTTTAGTTGTGGGAGACAGGTATCGACTATTCATTTATCTCGCTTTATTATAATTTGAATTTAAAGTTAAGGGAAATGACATTAAATTTATAATTAGATTTTGACCAAAAATTATGTTCAAGACTGGTGGATGTGGGCACGGAATGGCGATCATTCAGTAACGAAAAGTCTGGTGCAGATCCTTCACGTGTTGGCGCACCGGAGAATCCACTTCTTGGAAGCGCTGATTTGTCGACATCTATTGCTGTCGGTTTTGGCGGTTCCGAAAGTGATTACAGGCAATTTGCACATTTTTGTTTACCACTGAAATGATTCGAAGTCAAAATCCATTATTTCATACCTATCAGACAAAAATATTGACAATTTTATTCAATATTTCTGTTTGTCCAGTTAATTTATTGCTTCCACAATATGAATTCAATTATTTCAGCTTAGCAAATGCACAACGCAAGAATATGAACAACATGGATCGACAGATGTCGCAAGGATTAAGTGTAATTCGTGAGATGAGTGCACGTATTCACCTACCTAAATCTATTGAGGTTTCTAAATATTATTTAGTGCACTTTTTCTCTTTTTCAATTGAATTTCTGTAGGTGCGGATAATACTTGAATAGTTTATATGTAGTCTTTCAGGATGGAGCGGCGAAGATTTTCAAAGATGTGTTGGATAGTAAGGCATTACGAGGTAAAAATAACGAAGCTCAAGCAGCGGCTTGTTTATACATAGCTTGCAGAAAAGAAGGTGTTCCACGTACATTTAAAGGTTATTAAATTACTAATCGTTTACACTGTTGGACATCATATCTTATCGTCACAGTTCTTAAATGATTAAATTTTAAGAAACAAATTATCTTACTCTCACATTAATTGTTGGGAGATTTTCAGAAATCTGCGCTGCTTCTCGTGTTTCTAAAAAAGAAATAGGAAGGTGCTTCAAACTGATCATAAAGTCATTGGAAACGAGTTTGGAACAGATTACTAGTGCAGATTTTATGGTCAGGCTTTTAACTATTTTTTAATTCCTATTATCAGGTAACGAAGTAATTTTATACAAACCAATTTAGTTTTAAATATTTTTTCTCGTTTTATGTATTTTCAGCATATTCTTCCATTTCAAATTAACTCATGCAGAATTATGTTTTTTTTTTTTTTTTTTTTTTTTAGCATGGAATTACTGTTAAGTCGCTAGGGAGAAGAAATTCGAAAAAAAAATTGGAAAAACATAGGAAGAAGAAAAAGAAAAAAAAAGATTAGGAAAAAGTAGTATAGAAAAGAAAGTGTAGAATGAGGTTCACATCTCAAAATTTATTCTTCTTTAATTGATAATGGATGCTGTTAACAATCATGTGTAATTATTTGGTTTTATTAACGTTTTATACAAATTTTCAGTCACGATTCTGTGGTAATTTGGGTTTGCCGCACAGTATCCAGGCTGCAGCAACACGAATTGCAAAAAAAGCTGTCGAACTGGATTTGGTTGCTGGGTAAGATAATTCTTAAAAGTGCTTCTGAGTTAGCTTTAGTGATCAGAATTCACCAAATCACTTGTACTATTTCATTTTAGCCGTAGTCCGATATCTATAGCTGCAGCAGCGATATATATGGCAAGCCAAGCGTCCAGCAATAAAAAGACGGCTAAAGGTTTTATTTCCGACGCTTTTATGCGTTTAAAAGATTCTAATCGAAGAATTGATGATATTTATAGAGTGTTTTGAAATAAGGGTTTCTTGAAAAGATATGGTCACACAGCTAATTTGTAGTATGGAAGAAAATTATCTTTAAGTTTTTAGAAATTGGTGAAATTGCGGGTGCAGCTGAAGTGACGGTTAAACAAACATATAAACTTTTGTACCCTCGGGCAGGAGAACTGTTTCCGGAAGATTTCAAATTTACCACAGGAGTTGAGTCGCTTCCTCTGTCGTGAATTTTCACAATGCTATTATGATATTTTTTAACATTGTTTTGGACATCTTCATTTTTAGGTATTGTTCCCTCTCCATCTTTTTATTTTGTTGGTGGTTTTTTCGTTTTGCGTTTATTGGACTTTTTTTCTGTTTTTTCTTTCTTTAAGATTTTCTTATCACCATGCTGTCTTTGTATTACTTCAATTATTACATAACTTATTTATTTTAACTATGGTTGTTCATTCTTTATGAGAGAACTGATTTGTTCAGATTTTAAAACACTTATTAGTTTACTATCAACTTTTCTGGATTTAGAGATGCGTCAATTTATCGCTTTTGCTCACTATGCTTATATATCTAAAATGTCAATCGGTGGTAATGTATTAAAATGTACTATAAGGCATGTAAGGAGAAATTGCATTGTATTTATATATTGTAATATTTAATAATGATGAGAAATGGAAAAGCGAGGAAAAGGAAAACTAGAAGAGCTAAATGCAATATATGTATATATTTTCTTAACTTAAAATAGGCTTACTATCGAATTGACTTGCCGCAGTTGCATGTACTCCTCTAGGATTCCAGTAATGTTTAGTATTGATTCATGGAGTAGTTATCTGTGTGTGTGTGTGTGTGTGTGTGTGTGTATGTGTAGATAAAGCTGTGGAAGTAGTGTTAGGTCGGTGCGAGTGTGTACTCAAGAAGCCTAAATGCTATGGGTTTCTGATTATATGCCTTCCTTCATGGTCGTACTATTCGACAAATAACGTTGAAGAGTGCATAGTGCCAGGGTGGGCTGCTAAATATACTGCAAAGGACGATAACGAACGACTTGTCGAAAGGGAAAATATAGGAAGTGGCACATTTCCCTTTTTTTCATTTTCTTGCGGAAGAGCTCACCTCCAACTCCTCCTTCCCTTATATGCATGTCAAACTTGTGCTAGCCAGCTATCTGCCTTCTATCTTTCTAGCTAAAAAGGTTTGTTTGGATTATCCTTTTACTGGTGTTTTCATATTTTGTTTGGATACTTTGCTGTATACATTTGTGTCCAAGCACTGATTTTTTTTTGCATACCATGCACAGTTATAGGTTTTCATTGTTTTCTATAGATTTTAAACAGACCAATCACCAAAACATTTTTTTTAAAGAAAACCACTTCTTGTTTCTATATATGGTTTGTTGGCTGATAACTGAGGTGTACTTCCCTTTTGTTCAATGCAACACATTAAAAAAAATGTCTACCTTCTTTGTTATCGACCAGTTAGTATAGCCTTATATTGCCACTTCACTATTGGAAAACTTCAGCATCAACTTACTAAAGCTTTAAAGATTATTTAGGAATGGTCCAACTAACTATCCTTTCAAATGCTTATTTTTACATTCCAAAATGACATTAATCTACCATAGCTTGAAAATTCAATAATTAGGTATTTGCTTCCTCAATTTCTTTTCATTTTTTCCTTTACTACCAGTGTTTTATCGACTTAGCAAGTTTCTTGTTCATTAAAGTGATGTATGGTTATTCAAATGTTTCATTTAACTTAGCTAATAGGACGTGGTTTCGCTACTCACATTCTTAAATACCACTACTTCATACATATAACTGAACCTCAGCCATAATCAGTTTGGAAATTTTATTTCTATTATCAGTTACTTTGCTAGTGACAAAGATAGGATCATCCGAAATTTGATAATGCTTTTTGAAATTCCAAATAAGTGTGTTGCACATTATGAGAGAGAGAAGATTAAATGTGTGTTATTCCTTTCTATTATTTCTGTTCTTTGCTGTATTCTACCAAACTATTTTGTATTCGTTGCACTTCTTAATAAAACAAAAAAAGAAGCTTTTGCACCTCAATTTAAAGCAGTTTGGATCATTAATTTGATCGGATGATCAACGAAAAAGCTTGTAAAAGCATTGGCATAAATGGATATTTCCATTAAAAAAGTATTCAGTGACATCATATTTCACTTCATGAATTAATTTAGGAAGGGAATTTGCTAACAAGAAATGAAATGGATAATAATTTCTGTCTTAGAGCAAGTGAGATAGATTGATTTAGAAATGAAAAATGAAAGGGAGTAATAAAAAGCAGAAATGAAATTGAAGTGAAAAAGTGAGATGAAACAAATTATGAACATGTAAATCAGTTAAGCAGATTCTCTTCTCCTTTACATTTTAAGTATAGTAATAACAGAAGATAACAAAGAAGGAGAAACTACGTAGGACGAAAGTATAATAATAATATGACAAATTCATTTGTCAAATGCGTCACTGAACAGTGAGATTTATTCCGTAAAGATTCATGTTTGTTGCAACTGCCTTATTTTAAGTTTATTGGGCTGGAAATGACATCATTTAAAGTCAGAGAGAGAATTTGATTTTAGCTTAACTGTTACTTTTATGGAGTTTGAAGTTCCTTTTCAAAATGCTTTTTATTTTGTTAAGCATAGTGCCCTGTCCCATCCAAATATTGTAAATGATTTTGCCACCATATTGATGATTTTAAACATATATTTAACAAAGTTTATATTGTAAATGTCTACTGCTTTAGGTACATTTTTTGATAATAAATTCTGAGGTTTATTAGTTTGTTCATTTTTTCATTTTTTGGAAAAAAATTTTTTAAAAAACCAAAAACCTAGGCTTATCATATCATGAAAAATAAGGTGCAAAGATACTTCAACGCAAATGGATGTAATTAATTAATCACTGCGCATTTAGGCAAATCATAAGAAATGATTTACTTAAATGCATCTCATTATGGAAATTCTCTAATAAATTTAAAGTTTGCTGCTATCACAAATAGGACGTAATGTTGCTTTTTCATTCTCATTCATTTAATTTTTCTTATTTCCAGCAAAGTCTTAACAAATCAACAAGTAATGGCTTAATTACTTCGGTTTATATTTTGAAGGACTGGTAATGAGAGGGTGAAAGCCGAAAAATATTTCCTGAACATTTTCTGCTTATTAAATTATTTGTTATTCCCTGATGAAATAAATTACACTCTCTTTCTTCTTTTTCCCAGGTCATGAAATTAAAATTCATATAGCTCAAAAGTCATGTAGTTAAATGAAGAAAATAGATTTTTTATGGATAGCATAGATAGTGGAGAATCGATTTTTTTTTAGTAGTAATTATGTCAATTTGAAAAAAAAACTGAAATTTCTTGCACATTTAAACTTGACCGATTTATACATATAAGAGAGCAAATTTCATATCTTTTCGACCGTGTGTTTTTAACTTCTGCAATTTTTTTACTGTATTTGAATTAAGTCCTTTAAATGATACAATTAAGGTTACTTTACTCTTCCAGTTTATATGCTACTTTAAGAGACTTTCGTTTGGTGGTAATCTTCTGAAAGATAGTTTTGCTTTTAGATTGCCTTTTCCACCGTTGCTACAGTTATAAATCAGTTTTGACCATATTTACAATAATTTCAATGAAATGGTCTGAGAAAAAACATTTAATAAGATTCTATTCCAACAACTGTGCTCATTCATTAATAAAGTGGCATATTGAGGAGAGTGTGTACATCTCATTTTCCAGTGCCTTTTTCGTTTTATGAAAGGGAATAGTAATTTAGCGAGAGTAAAAGAAAATTAACATCGATTCTTTTGAAAGGGTTTAGATTGCAAAAGAATATTTAAATTAAAATTTAGAGAAAGAAATAAGTGAAGAACAAGCAAACTAATTAAATGATATTATTTTCAGCTTTAAGCATGGGATCCTTTTTAATCAGAAGCAGTTTTCTGAGTTATTCTTGTGCTTTAATAGAATAATTTATTGTATTTTAATATACAATTATTATTAACGCAAAAGTATATTTGGATAACAAGCTCATACGTAAGATGTAATGATTAATTGTTTCCGTAAATCAGAAAGTTAAAGGTAAGTTGCAATCTTTCAGTTTTGTTTATTGATTGAGGATGTTGTCTGGGTTTTAAGATAAAAGTATTTCTCTCGAGAATGTCTTTATTTTCATTTAATACTTTTTTGTATCACAATGTCCTTTTTTCCGCAATATTTTCGTAATTACTAATTTGTAGAATAACTTCTTGAAGGCAGCAGCTGCAATAAAGCATTTTATCTGCAAAGTCTAAAATTTAGTCTAAGCTTTTACTTGGAGCTAACGATTGAGTCTGCAAGTAACTTTTGTTTTCAATTATCTTTTGTAGCATCTATTATTTGATCATTCTTATGCTAAGAATCACAAATGGTACGACAGACAACTATCATTTGACAGTAAGGATGGAATGGCTCGATATATTAATCATCATTTCAATGTTTTCTTTTTCTATTTTAAATGCATTTGTGATTGGGGACTTGAAGCAGAAGCTCTACTGATAGTGGCGGTAAGGACCTAAAACAAAGCAAAGCAGTCATTACTAGCAAACAAAACTGATGTAAACAATATCACTCAATTCTCTGCTGCATGCATAAATGATACGTTTATGAATTAATAAATTTTACGAAGCATATCTTACTGGCACTCCACTAATTTATTCAAATACAGAATGGAATGATATTGTGTACAGCTATTTTGTTCGTTTATGAAGAATGCTTTGGTGAATTCCTTGTCGGTAAAAATCAGAATTAAGTAAACCTACCCAATATTATTAATTCAATCTCTCTGTTCGTTAATGCACGTGCTGTCGTCAGTTAATCGTCCACATGTTCCGGTAAAGACTGATTTTTATAAGCTTTTGCAGAGTATAACTGACAGTGGCAAAAAATTTTTGCGAAAAAAAAAAAAAAAAAAAAAAAAAGAAACAGTAGAAGACGACAAAATGACTGCAAATGGTGATATACCGGAATCACTGGAGGAAATTAATTTGAAAATGAACGCAACAACGGATGAAGTAAGCTTAACTAAAATAATTAAGGAGTTCGCAGTGACATAATTTTGTTAACTGAAGTTATTGCTGAATTTTGGTTGCGGATATGCTACAACAACAAGTGAAATAAGCTTGTCATGTTTCTGTGATGCAAATCTAACATCTTTAGTAATGAA